GAAGAACTCAGACGAGAAGGTCAATGCGATGCACAAAAGTAGTATTTAGGTGGGAGGGATTACTCACATACATGAATAATAACCGAAATGGGTCATCCAACGTTATATTCTAAGCGGTGATTATGATGACATGATTTACACCCTGCTCCTGAGTCCCCGGAGGGGGGTACTACTGGGAATTCTTGGTGGGGGTGTGGTGCCCGATTCTCTGAATCCTGACCTTATTGCAGACCAAAAAATTGTCATTTTCCGCACCCGTTTTTAGACTAGATCTCTAAAATCCATACCTATTTTCGGACCTGGCCTAATTTAGCCTGTTCCAGGCTCTCAGATAGTTGGGGAGACTCCCCAGTTTTCTCCCGTTTTATTTTCGTGTGTTCGCTGTCTCAATTCAGCGGACCTAACTATCTCAGTAGCCTGAATTTCATCCGATTACTTCGAATCGTTATTACTCCCTCAGTTGTTGAGAGGAGAAAACGACTCGAAGCAATGGGATGAATTTCAGGCTACTATCTCAGAACAGGTTAGGTCTAATTAGGTAGAAATTTGGTCATCATTACCAAGTTAGAGCGGAAACAAAAAAAATTCTCCAAATGCATTTCGAATTCGCACATTTCTATTTCGTTCTTATTCATTTGGAACTGAAACGATAAATACGTCCATTCATGTACGCTCCCGTAGTTCCCTCGAAAACCATACCCGATTCCTCACCAAAATGGGCAAAGTGTTTTCAGACCAACCATTATATAAGGGAGTACCACCCCTGATCCTGACCCCTTTCATGATTGTTAGAGACCAAGACAAGGTCTAAAAATGGGTGAAGAAAAAAGCATTTTGATCCGGGTCATGATTCAGAGAACCGGGCGGGACACCTCCACCAAGAATTTATAGGAGAATTTACAACTTTAACTCACGTGTCTTGCTATTTAGCGACCTTTTGATCTTATTTTTCCTTACCTAGAACCAATTTGCACGGTTTTTACCAAAGTAGACCGTAGTCCGTATTTTATACCCAGTCCGCAGTCCGCAGTCCGCGTTTTATACCTTGTCCGTGTTTTATACCCAGTCCGTATTTCCTAGTCCGCGTTTTATACCTAGTCCGTATTTTATACCCAGTCCGCAGTCCGCAGTCCGTAGTCCGCAGTCCGCAGTCCGCAGTCCATGTTTTATACTGACCGAATCAAAAACTACTGTCGATGAAAAATCGGGTCCTTCTAACTAACACCACGTCCACACGATTCCGGGCAGGTGGAACACTCCATTCTTAATTGAATTCGATAATATATAGCCTGTTTCTTCTACACGACAAATTTCGCAAATCCGGTGGCTCCCTAGCCTGCGTAGCAGACACTTGGAAGTGACGGGCTCAAGAAAGAACGGGGCGCGCGAGAGAGACACGCGAGGTGAGAGGGAACGTTATTACGGGGTCCTACTCTATAAATTTTGTTATGACTGAGGCGAAAAATGTAGTTTATTTTTGTGGGATTTTGTTGTATATAAGGCCTTTTTTTTGCTTTTTTACCTGAAATTTGTTATATATGGGCTCGTTATGCGGGAGTTTCGTTTCACAGGCTCTCTTGATACCAGGATTTCGTAATATACTAATAGGGATTCGTTAGACAAGAAATGGGTTATGCGAGGTTAGTTATACCGGGGATATCTTGTTATCATCATCATCATCAATCATTTATTTTAACACGTTTCGTCAAAGAGCTAAAAAACTCGTTCAAAATACGAACGTGTATAAATAAAATCTATACGTTCGTATTTTGAACGAGTTATGTTAAGAGCTCGTTGTACCGGGATTTCGTTATACTGGTATGTCGTTACATAGGGGTACGTTATACTCGAGGATTTCACAGCAAATACTGCCAAGGGGATTAAACAGCGGCCACGATGAAAGTTTTATATTTTGAAGGTGTCTGATTTTCGAGTTCTTCCCGCTTATTTATTACAAGCTCTTGTTGTTGAATATCTTCATTTAACGAAGCTCTATTTATTCAAATCCAAAGAAATCAACTCACTAGGCCAATAAAAAAGTAACATTTATTTTTAGAAGGGCTTCCATTTGGTTACTATTTTCACCGTTGGAAATCGATCACCTGACATTTTTGCCATTATTTTAATTTCCTACGTATACTGATAATAGTTATTGGAAACCATATATCGTGTAGTAATAATGATGAAACTGGCAATCCCTGAAATCACATATTGGTGCACTTAGTGGCGACTAATTTCAGGCCAGTTTTATTGTAATATATGGTGTACAGGCATTAAAAGCGAGCCTGAAGTAGTTTCTAAGAACGTTCGAGTCAATGTGGTTTGGACCCAGTGATTTCCAATGTTCCTCGCTGTCTTTGCTTTTAGTCTCTCTAAGTCGTTTAAAATGAACTTCCCTTGCTTGGGCAACCCATAAAAAGGAAGGGTTTTTTTCACCCTATGTATTAAGAAAGGCAAGATTTCCGTATAACCCCATACATTAATTATGCATTCATCCATTGTCAAAAGAAAACAAAAGAAAGAACAATAGTTAGCCTTTGGGATTTCAGCTATTATCATAAAAATTTTATTTTTTTTTTCTAAGTCTTTTTTAAAACGCCCTAAATTTGGCGCTTTTTGCAATAAAATCGAAACTTTTTCAAACAATTTTTTTTCCTTTTTTTCTGTTGGTAAACCTAGCTATTTAAATAAGCCCGTTTCGTAAAACTAAAACAAAATATTTCGTAGCGCAGACCATTAAATTCCCTAAACTAATCTCCGAATTTAACACGCTAAACAAAATGAAATAAAGTCCTACCTTTTTAGCTGTGTTCGTCCGAGTTTTGTTATCCCTGAAATATTTCCTGAGGTACCTGCCTCGTACGTCTCATCTGTCTGTGTTCCATATCTTAGTGTCGATAGTTTTAGATCACGAACGGTGCATAGAGTGGTATATATTTACGCATTTATATGTCGTTTCCGACGTTATAAAGTTCAGCGATATGCTTCAATATGTTTCCAAAGGGGTTTTCTCCGTATTGCTTACGCCACATAAACTCCTGTAGGTAGCTTTCGAAGAGTTCTTTGGATGTTCCTGTACGGGGATAACTTCGCTTCACTCCCCACCATGTATTTTCGATGCCCTGTGTGTGGGCACCTGTGTCTGGGTCTACGAAGTTCAGGCTGTGGTTAACCGTGAGATGTTCGTAGCCCTCGTCTTTTAGGCAGTCATAAGATCTCCATAAGTCGCTCATCACGCGTGTACCCGGCAATATTTGAGCGCGAATAATGGGCAAGAGAGTTTCTTTATCCCTACGCTCTACCGGGACAAGGAAGCAGGCCTTGGTTTCGCGGCAAAGGCCACCAAAAACCCACTTCCCTTCGATTTTGCGACCTCGGTGATACTTCATCTTGCCAAACTTGGACTCGTCAATCTCAACAGTTGTTCCAGGTCCGCCTATTGGCCCCGCATGATGATTCATGATTCTGTCGGCACAAACCTCACGGCAATAGTTATACCAATCTATCACCGTTTCTGTTGACGTTGTTTCGTCGTCCAGTGAGGTTTCGTGCACTGCTTGAGTAGTGGTAAATTTGTGCGCCCAAGCGTAAGTTAGGGCTAATACTTTTTCAATGGATAGCCTGCTACCAGAAAACCATGACTTCTGGCGCATTGATGTTGCCCCATTGCAACCTCTCTTGGAGCATCGCCACTCGTACCCGTCTCGCGATGAAGCTCGTCTAGTCCAGCTGAGTGCATTGTGGCACCCAGCTCTAGGACATTTCAATGACGACGCGAGTAGGTTGTTTTCCTTACACCACTCTATGCACCGGTCGTGATCCGCCAGAATTTTAGAGAGCTTCAAGAAGTTCATTTCGCGTGCCATGGCCATAGTCGACTGAAATACATGCAGGGAAAGAGCGTTTCTGAAGTGTGCGTGCTTTTTATTGCCTGCATTGATGCATTTTTTCGTGGATATGTTACAAGCAAAAGCCTGAATAATATACATGACTTCATGTTTCAGTTGTATTGTTATGTATATTTGAACTTCAACATGCAAAACGATATCTTTCTTTTATCCGGTAAATCTCAACAAATCATCGTGGTCTAGTGGTATGGTAGACAGACAGGAACGCCAGAGCTAAAGAGTAGCGTTGGTTCAAATCTCGCTGACGGCCAAGGAAAAAAGAAAAAAGGAAACTGCGGGAGCACTGGAGAGAGTGGCCGGGGAAAGATAGGGGGAATAAGAGCGAGAGAGAGGTAAAAAAAAAAAATAAATAAAATCCTCTTTTATTAACGCAGTAAGTATTCATTACCGATGTATATATGCAATACTCTGGGGAATTTGCTATTGTCTTAGAAGACAATAGCAGGGATACATAATTAATGAGATCGAATGCATAATTAATGTATGGGGTTATATGGAAATTTTTCCGGTGAGACTTGGGTTGTTTACCATTTATAAAAAAAATCCGGAAATTTTGGTTAGGAATTTTCGTTCGGTAAGAACGGTGCGTGTCGTTTACCTTTTGCCTAAACTTTCCAGATTGTCGCGCCGCGCTAGACTGGATTATAGTTACCACCCGAAACTAGTAGAAACCCAAGAAACTTGTAAATGGTAAACAAATTTCCATTTTTCATTTGCTATGTAGGTTAGTTTGATTTTATGCAATTTTTATTGTTACAGACATTCCAGTACATGGTGTTTCCAATAGTACTCAATCCAGGATTAACATTTTTCAGATTTTTAGCACTAGTTATCTGTTAAACAACTTCTTAATCATAATACATGTTTTTATTTTAAAACCACTTGGTTAAGACTACAAAGTTTGAATGTCTAGGATGAAAGAAAAACAGCGATAAGTAGTACTAGCGCTAAACGTAGTACACAGAACTACAAATGACTAAAACCCTCAACTATAGGAAAATTATTCACTGTTGATGATAGTGTGCTATAATAAAATCACAAACTTCCTTTAAGGAAGATGCTCACATTGTCTTCAAGGAAAAGGAGAATTTTTTATGCAAATATTTGGATTCGATGATTGCGTAAATCAGACATGACAATACGATCATTACTTGAAACAGCTAATGAGAGTGGCTCATTAAATTGTCCTAAGTTGCTGCCTTTTAAACCGAATTTTTGTACGAACGTTCCATCTACTTTGAAGACTTGTATTCTATGATTGTTGCGATCACAGACCAACAGGTGCTTTGACTGAGTCACTGACAAAAACCATGGACAATTAAACTCCCCGTCCCCTGCACCATTCTTACCGAATTTGTACTGAAAATGCCCTTCCCTACTGAATACTTTGATACAATGTTCATTCTTGTCTGACACTATGAAATATTCACCACTCTGAACGCAGTGAACAGGAGAACTAAACGAACCCTGCCCACCTATCTTCATTACAAACCTACCATCCGGGGTAAAGATCTTAATCAGTTTGTTACCTGAATCAGCAACAATAACATTACCAGTACTATCTAAAGATAAACCAAAAGGGTAAGAGAGCTGACTGTCAAGGCCTCCTTGGCCACCAAATGAACCTAGGTGCCTCCCCTCCCAACTAAGGATCTGTACTCTATGGTTACCATAATCTGCTACAAAAATATTTCTATCCTTATCAATGGCTATTCCAAAAGGGTGGCTGAACTCTCCAGCATTTTTGCCTTGGTGACCAAAGTATTTTAAGAAAGTACCATTACTGTCAAAAACTTGAACCCGATGGTTGAACTCGTCAGCCACTACTATTTCGTCCCTTTCATTCAGTGCCACCCCCAAAGGATACTGAAACATTCCGTCACCCGAACCTTCCTGCCCAAAGGAGAAAACAGGTTTGACATCAAATGGTTTTACTATCACATTAAAAGGACTGCCACCAATATGTTCCCCTTTTACCTTAACTAAAAGTTTGAATGCCCCTTGAAGTCTGGGATAATAAATGATGTTGTAGATTCCATCCTTGTTATCATCTATTCTTACTTCTGTCACGCATTCTTGTTCTTGTTCGTCTTTAATCTCTATCGTTACACGGTTCCGTTCGTCGTACAACTGCTTTTTCTCCGCGTTTCTTGTGATCAAATTGAATTGAGCTTTACGCCCCACTGTTCCTCCTTTCAGTCCTTCACCTTCAACCAGAGATTCGATTGGTTTTGTTCGATAAGGTTCTTCCAAGAATCCAATTTCTCCCCCGTTGACAACGTCAAGCATCTTCTGGTTTTCTACGAAAACAAAGGCTTGGAGACTACTGCGGTCATGAACTATGGGCTTGCCTTGAACAACACCCTGAAAAATTGTCGGCAATGACTTTTTGAGTTGAACAATTTCCGCTGTGGTACTTCGTTTTAACAGCTTATCAGCTTCATTCAGTGACGATTCAAGAACACTTATCTGGTGCTGAATCTCGCTCCTTTTTGCTGTCAAACTTTCAAGTGACTTCTGGGTCTGGTTTTCCACCGAGGTTATGATATTTTGCAGTTTTGCTTGAATTGATTTGATCAAGTTATCGGCAAACCTTTGGGCATCTCTCTTCACGATTTTGTTTTGTTGAATCATTTTAGCGTAATCTTCATCCAGTTGAGTAACTTCTTTCATTTTTGCTTCTAATTTTTTCCTGTGCATTTCAATAACAGATTTTATCTCGAGCTTTTGACATTCAGCTTCTTCTTTGATTAATTTCAGTGCATGACCTCCGTGATCCAAAGCGAAGCAAGTCTGACAAAGTGTCGTTTCACATTCCTTGCAGTAGTATTTGAGCTCATCTTCCTGATGATCTTGTCTTGAACAGAATACTGGCCGCTTTATATGTAGGAGCATCAGAAACAGAACTTTTAGAAACTATCGGTCGTGCGCCACAAGAGACAAAGAAGCGTTTTATAACACCCGCCGGTGTGTAACTAGTGTCATTTTCTATGTTGTGACCTTTGTCATGCTTACTTCCAATCTCTTCTTGTCGCAATTTCCACATTTCACTTCAGTCTTCTTGCATTCTTTGATGGCAAGAACATCGATCAAGCCATTCAAATAAAAACTGGTTGGAAGATCTTTTAGATCACCGCTCGCAGGAACTCGACTGAGCGTTTGGCATTTCGGGCATTTTATGGCTTCGCCGCCCCCGCACGTTTCGTACCATTGTTGAAGACACTTTGAGCAGAAACTGTGTAGACAGGAGAGGTGTTTAGGATCTGTAAATATGTCAGAACACACTGAACAAGACACTTCTTCGCGAAGATTGTAAAATAGCGTTGTGAGATCCATTTCTGTTCAAAGGAAAGCGACTGATGACCTTTGAGACACTCCACACCAAACAGTGGGGTCTTGTGAGTTTCTATGTTTAGCTTTTCTCGGAATCAAGAGGTGTGCTAACCAATCAACGAGCGCTGTTTTGAGAGACTTTTGTTTTGCGTCTTGGTTTGAGATTCCCAGAAATGTTACCTTAATAACCAAATTTCAACTAACAAACAAATACATTTTTCGGATAACAAGTTCGTATAGCCAGAACTTAAACTTAGAACGTAAAGCTTCTCATATGAAGCCAGTGTGTTTTGGCGTAAATAGAAGATGTGATTAGCAAGGTCCAATCACACCAACTTAGTCAGTACATGTCTATCGAAACATGCAAAATCGGTTATCAAGATCTATATTGCCTTCAGAAACAATGAATAACCTTTAGAGCAGTGAAGCGTTTTACGCCTAAATCAAAGGCTTAGGAAGCCATTAAAACATTGTTGAAAGACTTGCAGACCTCGCATGCGTTCGTTTGCACCTTTCAAGCACAAATTGAAGTACTCAAACTCTAAACTGATCACTGACGTATAATGAGTGATTTTGTTGCGTAAGCACAGTAGCGTGAAAACCACAGCCGTGAAAAATGCAAATCACTCATATGCAGCGATTGAGCATCAAAAACTACTGTCGATGAAAAATCGGGTCCTTCTGACTAACGCCTCGTCCACACGATTCCTAGTCTCCTTCGTAGCGGTTATTAGGGTCGTCACGCAACGGTCCTCCACTTAGTGGGGAGGAGCGTTGCGTGACGACCCTAATAACGACTGCGAAGGAGACTACACGATTCAGGGCAGGTGGAACGCTCCATTCTTAACTGAATTCGATAATATATATAGCCTGTTTCTTCTACACGACAAATTCGCAAATCCGGTGGCTCCCTAGCCAGCGTGGCAGACACTTGGAAGTGACAGGCGCAAGAAAGAACGGGGCGCGCGAGAGAGACACGCGAGGGGAGAGGGAACGTTATAACAGAGTCCTATTCCATAAATTTTGTTATAACTGAGGCGAAAAATGTACTTCATTTTTGTGGGATTTTGTTATACATAAGGGCTTCCTCTTTTTGGTTTTTTTTTACCGGAAATTTGTTATATAGTATCGCCTGATCGCAGGTTAGTTATATAGGGGCTCGTTATGCGGTAGTTTCATACCAAGATTTCGTAATATAGGGGCTCGTTAGACAAGAAATGGGTTATACCGGGTTAGTTATACCGGGGATATCTTGTTATGTTAAGGGGCTCGTTGAAACGGGATTTCGTTATACCGGTATGTCGTTATATATATGGGGAAGTTATATGAGGATTTCACAGCAAATACTGCCAAGGACTAAATAGAGTCTGATTTTCGTGTTCTTCCCGCTTATTTATTAGGAGCTCTTGTTGGTGAGTATCCTCATGTAGGGGAACTCTATTTATTCAAATCCAAAGAAATCAACTCACTAGGGCAACAAAAAAGCAACATTTATTTTTAGAAGGGCTTCTATTTGGTTACTATTTCTCCGTCGGAAATCTATCACCTGACATTTTTGCCATTATTTCCATTTCCTACGTATAATTGATAATAGTCATTAGAAAACCATATATCGTGTAGTAATAATGATGAAACTGGCGATCCCTGAAATCACATATTGGTGCACTTAGTGGCGAATAATTTCAGGCCAGTTTTATTGTCACATATGGTGTATAGGAATTAAAAGCGAGCCTGAAGTAGTTTCTAAGCACGTCCGAGTCAATGTGGCTTGGACCCAGTGATTTCCAATGTTCCTCGCTGTCTTTACTTTTAGTCTCTCTAAGTCGTTTAAAATGAACTTCTCTTGCCTGGGCAACCTATAAAAAGGAAGGTTTTTCCACCCTATGTATTAAAAAACGGTAATCCAAGACAGTCTTCGATTCTGGATTCCTAGCCAGTGAGACTTGGGTTGTTTACCATTTATAAAAAAAGTCCGGAAATTTTGGTCGGGACTTTTCGTTCCGTAAGAACGTTACGTGTCGTTTACCATTTGCCTAAAATTTCTGGACTGTCGCGCCGCGCTAAACTGGATTCTAGTTACAACAACTATAGGACGAAACTCAAGAAACTTGTAAATGGTGAACGAATTTCCATTCGGAACGTCCCAACCGGGAAAACGGGACTACCTTCTCAGAGTTTCCGTTTGTCCCGGGAATTTTCCAGTGGGACGAACCAAAAAAACGTTTACCATTTACATCTCAACCGAAATTTCCTGGAACTTGTGGTAAATGGTAAACAACCTTGGATTCCGGATGCTAATCGTTAGCGGGATTCAGAATTCCTTGAGCTAAATTTTGGATCCGGGACGCAAAAATTTCCTGGATTCCGAGATACGGATTACCTAACAGAGGGTATCAATAGGGTGGTATCTTTGACTCGACCTCTCGCTTGGCGTATCATCGCTCAACCTCGTTCCCAGGGTTCTCCCCTACCTAGGTGACGAGTAGGAGAGAAGCCTGAGGACAAAATCAACCAGCGCTCCACCTGAGCAACTTTAGGCGGCTCACTACGTTAGCATATATATACAGTAACTGGCTTTTTTATACTCGCCTTTTCGCGTATTTTTGGTAGATCATCGAAGGTGAGGTTTATATTCTGTTTAGGTTTATTTCGTTTCTTTTCTTGTTTTACGTCGACGCTCGGCAGTTCCACTACAAATGGCTTAATCCGCTGGCTCACCCATCCGTTTTTCTTCAGTGGGGGTCTTAGGGATTCTCGCTTTCCTTGGTCTTGACGCGACATTAGTAACTGACCAGCGGGAGTGATGGAATGCTGAAAAAGATGATATTCCTGGTTTGTACTTGACGTCAGGGAGGCTAATCAAGGTGAACAAGAACAAAAGCATTTCTCTCCGCTGGAAACCAGACTCTATTATCATGATAAATCTTCAAAAAAATTTTCGTTTTTACTACCATCATGGCCACCTTATCACGTGCTTGCGAACCAAAAAGGGTAAAGGTAGAGTCTTTATTTTACGTCGGTAGCTCGAAATAATCATCTGCCGTGACTAACAAACCTGAGGCTGACGGTGCTGACGGTTCAAACGTCTCATTTCACATGTACATGTGCCGAACCTAATGCAAATGAGCGAGAACAATAGGTTTTCTGTACCATTAAATTCGGCACAAGCGAAATTCGAGGTTTGAACCAAGACTTAGTCAATGTCATTGGCAGAGGCAATGCGATTCTTTCGGCAAGCACCAAGGATAGCTTAGTTCTTAGTTACCAGACCCCCGCTAATTATGCATGACCACGTAAAATAAATATTAATAACGCAGTCCTTTCTTGTGGTCCTGTTTACCTCCCTGGTTTCCAATGTTTGAGTGTGTGAAAGTAATTCTAGTGCTATATTTCGAATTAATATGTATCTAAGTGAGATTCCAAGGTGCACCTTTACAAACTTACCCTGTCTTGGATAGCAGGGGTCTTGCTAATCAGATCAGGATTAGATGAGGTTCTCTGCAGACTCAATCTCCCAAAATTTAGTCGAATTTTGCCACGAGTGTGAGACATTTCCGGGTTGTCAGGCCCGACTGGTCTAACCCGGCTTTTCGGGCGTTTTTTCCTTACTACCTACAATCGAAGTTTATAATCAATATTAGTTCGTTACCTAAAGAAAGTACAGAGATACAATACACAATATTCAAACTTCGAAATAATCTATTTTTAATTAACTGAACGGGTTATTCATAGCCTGTGTAAAGGCGCAAAAAGGGGAAAGGGAGGAGGGGGGGAGGGGAGAGGAGACAGGCAGTGGATGAGAGAAGGCGTTCATACAACTTTTTCCAAAATGAAGGTAACATAAGTTTAATTTTATATTTAGCCCTCCTTGGCTAAATATGCCGCTGCAGAATTCATGAAACTTTTACCTCGGAAAAGGAAAAGGGGTTTAATTCAAAAAGGGTTTTTCTGTCTTGTGTTGGACACTACTATCTTCGTTGCGTTGTCCCTCTGAAACGTCACTTACAATATTTGCGCTCTTGGCGCTTGCTTTGGGTTTTGATTGGGTTGTCTACCTCTAATGTGATTGGCCAAAACTTGCCAGTCACATATCGCTTTAATGGGACAAATGTTTTTACAACAGTGAATTACATTGTGACCAAAACAGTAAAGAGGGACGGGATCAACCCCAATTTACTTGCTGGGTGGGAATTTGAGAGGGTGGGTCGCAAAACGCCGGTTACTTCGCTTTTGCAGCCTCAAAAGAGTGCCGAAGTGTGACGTCATAGAAAATGAAAATTTGTGAAATTATGGGATTTGAAAGAACAACGTCCAAGACGACTACTCGCCAAAAATTAGCAGTTTGGGGCTAATTGTCTCTGAGATATTAGCCCAGTTATGCTCCGATGACTCCATACAAATCCTTCTAAATCTTACCTGGTTCCTAATCTTATGAACCGAGCCAAATTTAGAAGGATTTGTATGGAATCGTCACAGCATAACTGGGCTAATGTCTCAGAGACAAATTCCCCGAATTGCTAATTTTTGGCGAGTAGGCGTCTTCGACGTTGTTCTTTCAGAATATCTTAACAAATCCCATAATTTCACAAATATCATTTTCATGGCGTCATCACTTCGGTACTCTATAGGCTCTTTGCATGACTTGATCACGTGATAAGCTTTCGGTAAACACGAAAACAGTTCGCTTTTGAAAAACCAGTCACGCGTGCATGGATTGGTATGGAAAACCATAAAAATGTGACTAGATGGCAAAAGTTGTTTTTCTCATACAAATGCCTCTAACTTTCGGCGGCCGTTGCAATCGCTACTTTTGAGATATACGGCTGAAAATTCTCAGGTTACTTATTTTTAATATGCTCTTTCAGCTTGTGCTAACAAATTTTTCAAAAGTGAACTGTTTTCGTGTCTACCAAAAGTTGATCACGTGATCAAGTCGTGCAAAGAGCCTATTTAAAGTGATGGGGTGAAATACATGTAACTTATTGTATGTTCATTTTTTGCATAATCCCCAGGGTATTAATTATCACTGCAAATCGAGTTTTCCATGGGCACAACAGACGCACCTTGCCAAAAACAATGCGCAGTGGCTCAGCATACGGGGACTTATTGTCATCAGCTGCGTGCCTGGCCTTCAGGCTCTCCATGTGCTTTCTTAGCTGGTTCTCTGTCAGGCCTATGAGGCGAGCCCCTGCTGCGTAGTGCCCAACCACATGAGGCGCCTGGATGCGCTTGTACTTTGTGTGATAAAAACTGAGAGGAAATAGAGGTTATTAATATGGATGCATGTGAGTGTTTATCATGCACCTTACCGAAAACAACGTGCAGTGGCCCAGCATACGGAGACTTATTGGGAGATTAGGGAGATTAATGAGATCTGCCAGCGTTGGCGCGGGGAGATCTAAAACCGAGCCTAACCAATGGCAGGGGGGTAAATCAAACACCTGAATTAACTGCGTCCTACAGCTGTAGCAAGGAATACGCAACGACGACGGCGACGGCAACGAGAACGGCAAAAAAGCAATGGGTTTAGACCAGCACAACAACAGCTTTGCACGTGCATCACACTCTTTTGTACATTTCTCTGCCGTCGTTGCACAACTACAACGTGAAACTGCCTAATTTCACGTTTTGTCGAGGACGGGAACAAAAGACAACTACTTCCTTTTTCTTTTCCTGAACTTTGATGCACTGAGTCCTTTAGAATTCAACTTCAAAAAAAGTTTGCCGACATTTGACGAATTAAACGAGATGGAATAAGCGCGATTAAGTTTGAGGCAGCGCAAATTCACTCACGTAAGCTCCCTAGTTTCTCCACCAAGCAGAGGAGACCCCTCGTTGCAAATGGTGCACCCCCCATAGCCCATATGCTTACCCTACTATCTCATTAATGGAATGAAGAGCAGATCTCTTCATGAACTGTGTCAGCGCATCAAACAGCAGATTTTCACGTTTTCTCTTTTCCTGTCCCGTGGCTGCCATTCAGAAAGATTGAAAGCAATAAAACGTTGATCAGAATGCGTAATAAGTGTTGTTTTCCTCTGAATATTAACGTTCTTTGTTGAAATCAATAAAAGTATTACTAAAAAAAATTAGAATTGCCTAGTTTTCAGGTTTTCCTGTGGTACTTTCTTTCATTCTGCACAAGGCGTGTTTCCAACTTATGATTCTCAAGTGTGGTTGATATCCTCTGAATATTATGAAAGCTTCTTTCTTTCCTGTGGTACTGTTCGTTATGCTGTAAAAGACGCGGTTCTAATTCTCGGTACAATCCTAAAGTGTTACTATCAAATGAAAGCTAGTAAGCCGTGCTTTCCTACATCAGAGGTGGTTAGAAGGTTATCATACCTTATAGTCTGTGTTGTCAATCCTGAGGTGTGGCTAATTAAAACAAATTTACTAAGTACTATGTACTTATCTGTGGTTTTAATTGTACTGCAGTACAAGATGGTTCTGTAAGTATATTTTGGAGAAAAGGAAATTCGTTTTACCAGTTGTTTCAATTAGAGCCAAATGTCCAACGAATAAATACTTTCAGGAAAAATACGACTACTTTTGATAGGCTCACCAAATCCTTCTAAAAAGCGTTCAGTGTTGGTCATCAAGTTGAGAAACTCCTGAAAGTCAATTTCACCATTTCCTGTAAACAGTAAGTAGAGTAAAGTTAACTAAAGTACGCACACCGTGAAAGTTAACGATTATAAATTAATAAGGGGAATCGAATGTAGTTAGGATATCTTTTTCTGATGACTTCTAACAAAATCCCCAAGGTCCGGCGAAACTGGTTCAATTAAGTTTGACCTCTTGTTCGATCTTAAACAATTAGTTTGATTTTATCCGTAAAATGAACGCTCTGCTTTTATTTAGGACTTTTAAGGTGGCTCCGTAATTAATACAAGAGCATTTAGCTGTGACAAATTTTCCGTCATAACTTTTTGGTTTTTAACGCGATGGCTGCGAAACTTTGCAAAGAATAACAGACATCATTCGGCAATAATACGAAATATTCCGATTTCATTGATGGTAAATATTTCTTGAGAAATTAGCGCTTAAAAGGACCCTACTGTTCAAAGAAAATCGCGTCTAGTAAAAAATTTTGCTGATATTTTTTACTGAAATTTCTGGTATCGGCTTTAATTGATATAATAAATATGCCCGAGGAATTTCAGAAAAATCGTTGGAGCAGAAGTCCGTAACTAAAAGTCGCTCAAAATTCAGCTGTGAAATTGTTTTGGAATTTCAAAAATAAATTACCATCAGGAAGAAGGAGCCATCAGTTTGAATTTTCGGGACAAGTTAATTCAACGTTTGCTAATTCTTAAAACGAAAGCCAATTGCCTATCGTGCTATTCTTTAAAAGGTACTTTTTAGTTTTAGAAGCACTATAAATTGCTCCAAACCTTGCTCTGAAGTAGAATGACTTGTTCTTCGACATTTTTAAAATATCCCTTGGCAGTTTTGGCTCAAACTCCTGCTGCATACATTTTGATGTATTGCAATACATTTTCAACGACTTTTACTGCTGTTCGTTGCTTCCAACTCAGGAAAAAAGTATTGAGATTGGACGCTTCCTCGTATCAGAGCTCAGACAGAACTGTCCAGCACCTTTGTTTATGACTACAAAATGAGCACGGGCGGCGGTTCTGCGAGGAATTCGCACCTCAGCCAGGGGAGACGAATGACAATGATGCCCATGTCTGTGAACCGATCTGTATAAACATGTATTGTAGAGCAAAACCTAATAATCAAGAAAAAAATACCCATTCATTGAAGGAAGGAGTGACAAAAATTTCAGAGTTGTAAATTTAAGCACAGGCAGTATTTTTGCGATAATTTTATTTTGCACTGCGATGTTATTCGGTTCACAGGCATGGTCATCGTGGTCGTTCGTCCCCCCTGGGTGAGGTGCGAATTCCTCGCAGAACCGCCGCCCGTGCTCATTTTGTAGTCATAAACAAAGGTGCTGGACAGTTCTGTCTGAGCTCTGATACGAGGAAGCGTCCAATCTCAATACTTTTTTCCTGAGTTGGAAGCAACGAACAGCAGTAAAAGTCGTTGAAAATGTATTGCAATACATCAAAATGTATGCAGCAGGAGTTTGAGCCAAAACTGCCAAGGGATATTTTAAAAATGTCGAAGAACAAGTCATTCTACTTCAGAGCAAGGTTTGGAGCAATTTATAGTGCTTCTAAAACTAAAAAGTACCTTTTAAAGAATAGCACGATAGGCAATTGGCTTTCGTTTTAAGAATTAGCAAACGTTGAATTAACTTGTCCCGAAAATTCAAACTGATGGCTCCTTCTTCCTGATGGTAATTTATTTTTGAAATTCCAAAACAATTTCACAGCTGAATTTTGAGCGACTTTTAGTTACGGACTTCTGCTCCAACGATTTTTCTGAAATTCCTCGGGCATATTTATTATATCAATTAAAGCCGATACCAGAAATTTCAGTAAAAAATATCAGCAAAATTTTTTACTAGACGCGATTTTCTTTGAACAGTAGGGTCCTTTTAAGCGCTAATTTCTCAAGAAATATTTACCATCAATGAAATCGGAATATTTCGTATTATTGCCGAATGATATCTGTTGTTCTTTGCAAAGTTTCGCAGCCATCGCGTTAAAAACCAAAAAGTTATGACGGAAAATTTGTCACAGCTAAATGCTCTTGTATTAATTACGGAGCCACCTTAAAATGAAGATCAGGTTATACAGCCCCCCCCAACCAGGTTTTTGACGTCATAGTGACGTAAAATAAAATCTAAACAGATAGCAGCCTTAATGCTATCAAAAGCGTCTTATTCAGGTTTTGAACACTTCCATAGTACCTCCTTATCATCATCATCATCATCATCATCATCATCATCATCATCACCACCGCCAATACCATCATCATCAACAACATCATCATCATCATCATCATCATTACCAAAGTTCCTTACCGTCCTTATCCATTGTCACCAACACTTCTGCTAAATCATCTGGTGACAGCTGAATGTCAACAGATTTCAGAGCCAAGTCCAATTCTTCTGCGTCGATCGTTCCTCCGCCATTGCTGTCGAAAAGGTCGAACACCTCCCTAAATGCTGGAAAGTAATGAAATACAAGGCAGTATTTTATGCCAGAATAGTGCATGTATTGCTTGTTCGTATACATAAGTGTACAGTCTGGTTTCATCTATTGATCGGAGCTGATAACAATACTCAGTGTGAAAATGAAGATGAAAATGAAGAAATGATCGTCGCAGTGAACGCAATTTATGCAATTGCGTAAAGAAGCCTCAATACTCAGTGTATTGGCCATCGGAAAGCTTAAAGGGATTCCAAAGCTGCGTGACGCTTCATTCTTTCCTTCGTCCGTCCGTCTGTCCGTCCGTCCGTCCGTTTGTTCCTTCATTCGTTCATTGTTCGTTCATTGGTTCACTCGTTCACTCGTTCATTTGTTCATTTGTTCATTTGTTCATTTGTTCATTTATTCATTCGTTCATTCATTCATTCATTTTCACATATGGTCAACCTGCGCGCGCTAATATTTTTGCAACTGCCATTATTAAGGACTCTTCCATAAGATCGCTTAGCTTCTAAGCATTTGATGTTACCTGTAATCTGTTCATTTGTCAAATGAGCCAAAGATCTTTCTGATCCACTCTCCATATTATCTAACACCACCGAATCATCCGAAGGAACCACTCCAAAAACTTCTTCAACTGCCGATTGCGCCGTTGGGTCGGGACTTCCGTCTTCCTTTTTGCCAAGAGCAAACGCATTCCGCCGGCTCCGCTTCATATTGCTATACTGAGTGAAGTTATTTTGTAGGAGGTACCAAGGGCATTTTCATTTTACACTTTGAATTATCATGATCCGTGTTCTTTACATTTAAAGAACCCGCACACTCACTAATTGGTTTGTCAGGTTTGTGACGTCATATATCTTCTAACAATAGACCAATTTGGAACGTAAAAAAATGGGGGAAGGGGAGCTCCCGGATCCCCTGCTAAATCCGCCCATATGTGTCATATGTGAAATCTATCCTTGCGGGCCTCTTAAATATCGATGTAAGGACTAACACCTCTTTCAGTCGCAGAGTTTTCTGACATTTTTGACAGGTTTATACGTCCCGAGAATTATATGTTCTAGAAATCCCAAACTCGTACAGACCCATACAAATTTCTACCTCTAGTCTTTTTTAAGATCAGCTCCTTGCTGCTAGAGTCAAGCGGTTTTTTTTGTTGTTCGTGGAAGTTCAGTTCACCGAGGATCATCGTTCATTATCGGAATTTTATCGTTTCGCCGACCGAAACTCATGAATAGTCAATAGATTTTCGGAGGGCATGAAGTCGAGGTTCATGATAAACACATGAACCAGACGACCGGCAAAGAAGGAAGGCGAGGGGACAAGATGTTTACCTCTAAAACAGCCGCTCTTCTCGTGACTTTCCTGTTTGAAGTGGCCACATCTATTTCAGGTAAACTTTCGTTTATGCATTTTTCACATCAGAGGCAAATGAAAATTGTTATGTGTAGTTCAATGCGCGAGAGTTATTTGATACCTTTCCAGACACATTCCATGTATGCAATTTGCTTTTCGTCTAGGTCTTGTTGATATTAAATATCTTGTGAAGATTTGCATTTTTAAATTTAATATGCTTGTTACTGCAAGTTGGGGTGAAAAAAGAAGAAGATAGCACTTATGGTCAAATTTTTCCCTCTGAGAACTGCAGTCTATTTCGTTGTCGATTTATTAATTTCCCTCGACCAAAGCTTACACATGGACGAAGAAACTTGATTCGAATTTTGGCTTTTCGAGTTCATTTCTACAGTTGTGACAAGTTTTAACGTGCATTTTGTTCATGATCTTGCTGCTCGGTGTTGATTTCTCATCACTTAACCTTTTATGTTATAACCGCTCTCTTGAAACATTTTGTGAACGTCAAGAGAAAGACTACCCTAATTTTCTCATGTCTGCACAAGATCGCCCGTGTTTACGTAGTGAGCACAGCTTCTTGTGAATTGCGAACATAGACGATAGGCTTGCAGTCTCACACGGCTGCGTTTAAGATGCTTATTTATGAAAGATTCTTCAAACATTCGTTGGAAGTTTTCCGTTTTGAAGTTAGCAATTTACAGTTTCATGAAATAAATCAATATGTATATACCTATGTAAACATTAGAGCCGCGCATAAATCTGTTACCTTTCGACACCACGCGAAAAATATTCTTTGTTTTATTACTTTGCACATTGGCTGCGTCTCATTTACTCAAACTTCTAGGTACAGTCTATGAATTTATCGCCACCAGAGACAAGGTTATGTTGTTTATTTTAAACAATTGCTTGCGTGAGGTCGCCCATGTGTATTGAAATAAATTGTTAGCTGTTAGATTATTGTTATAAGTTGTCGGCACTGCTTTGGCCCGTATGAGGTTAAAGAATAAAAAAATTGATCCTTTAGTTTTCCTAGTTCCGTGATTGTTTTGATTGAACTGTGGGAGACCGCAGAAGTCAAAGGAATAATATTCTGACTGTAAAATAAATATTGAACTGAATTTACCTGTGCTCACTCTCTGTTTGTGTTCTTCAGTAGTAACTTTCTGGTACAGTGACTCGATTCATTATTTCTCCACGTGGGTATAATTTTTCTTGAACTTTCCGTCATAAAACTACCGAAATGACTATAACTTTAATTGTGTGACCATTGCATAAAAGCAAATAACATTTTTCAAGTTCACCCCCCGTTTCATATATGTTAGGACATTTAGAAACCAAAGAATTGGGCAATCATTGCCTTTTCATTCTCTAAGGTGAAACGTTAGATATGTGGTTCACATTCAAAACTTGTTATTTACCTAACACTATTTTCTCTTTAGGAAAAATCATGATTGTAAGCTTATTATTTCTGAAAACTAAATTGGCAGAACAATATTAATTTTCAAGATTACAATATGTATTTGACAGCCTCTTCAACAGACTTTTCATGTGATGTAAATAGGAATTATCAATAATAGATTCAAAAGCAGAGATTTTAAGTTAACAGCAGCTAACAATATCATGTTGCTCATTTCTGTTTTTATACAGTGTACTTGTTTTTGAATATAGATTTTGGTGCTTTACCAGCCTCCAGTTTGCACTTTATGATCAAGCTGTCAAAATGTCACACAACAATATTGGGTTTACGAATAAATAGAGTTAGTTTTTGTAGAATATTTTAGCTTTCACTTTCCCCCAAAAGTATAGTAATGCTTTTAAATCAAACAAAACTGGCTTTGTTTAGGAATATCAAATTTTTATAGGTGAGCCAAAGTCCAGGAAAAAAAAAATATAAAGCAAATTTGTTATCCACAACAATTTTTAATGTATGCAAATGCTAAGAACAATATATTCTCTATAACAGCAATATCACACATTATTTTCCTCAGGGAAGTAAGAAAACTGCTTTAAATACAGTTTAGTTACCTCTGTTCTGACTTTTGTTCAGGTTTCATGGTAAACTTTTTATTACAATATATTAACACATTCCTGTATTCTATAATCATGTTAGTGAGTTAATATATTAATTAAGTAAGCGAAAACATCTTTCTTGGTGTCATACATGTAGATTGTAATCATTACTGGTATAATTAGGTTATGCTATTTTCACAAAACCTTGATTTCTATTTTTTATATTTAATTTAAGATAAATTCAATGATAGATGACATGTTTGCAGTTGCCACAAATACAAAATCTATGTTTTCTTTCAAGCTTGTTTTTGAGGTCTTGATTCCTTTACCAAAAGCATCCTTATTACAATCCACTTCCTCCGTAAGTTCAAAGTTTGAGTGCAGGCTTATTTTCGCATACAGCAGCTGGTAATCAAGCCTACATACAGTGTACTTGTTTTTGCTTTAACTTTCCTGGTGCTGGCTCCTTCCTACAATGTTCACGTATCCCTGACCCCAGGAAATTCCTTTTTGGAGATGGGTGACTAAATTTTTACAAGACCAATTGCAATAGACTCTTCCACTGTTTTTTTAACTTTTGACTGGGACCACTTAGTGAAAATCTGTCAGTGCAGCTAAAAACCCTTTAAGCCCTTTAATATCCACATACAAATTCTCCAAACTGATCTCTGTAAACTTCCTTTAAGAATGTGTTGAGAGAATTTCATAAAAGATCAAGGCACTTTCTCTTTGATGATCATTTTATTAATTTCTTGACAATGTATGGATATTGTTAGGAGAAAATATTATTGATGTTGGTCACCATGGGGACTCAAAGGGTTAAAAATAGGAAAGATGCCAAGTTTGCACAGGATTTGTCAAAAACTAACTAAGATGTTGCTCCACAAAGTCGCTGAATTTTACAGATTTTTGTATGCCGGGGTCTAGCCTGCAAAAACATCTGTTTCTCCTCACTCTTCGCTGCTGGGGACGTTTTGCGCAGAGGAACGTCTGTGACTCAGTGACAGAAATCCCATACTGATGACATAAAATCTGTCTGGAATCCGTTCAGAAGCGCTGATTGGTCGAGGGAGTAGTTACATTGTTTTAGCTATTGTTTACGAATGACAGACAAAAGACAAAAGGCCACAAAGGTCAAATGTAAAAGCGAAGAATCTCTAACAGAACAGTCAACATTTGTGGAATATAATCTTCTCTAGAAGAGGCATTTGAGTCTTGTTGGAGCTCGTTGGTAGATGAGCACAACACTTTACCAAAATCGACCAGAAGACACGTAAAAATAGACAAATTTATATTTGGAACCCCATGACTACCAGTCATCCAGACCCTAAGATAAGGGGGGCCCAGTCTCCCAAAAAATTTTTTCGGCCCTTTAGGCCTCAGTTTGGTCTAAAAATAAGGTGGGGGAGGGGGCGGATCTCCTGGCCCCTCCCCTAGATCTGCCACTGGGACTGGAGATGATTGCATTGACTAGTAGTTGAATCTTTTGAATGGCATTTTACAGGTCAGACAAATGTAACAGAGACACCGGTGCCTACCCCTCTAAGTATGGAGTGTGTTTGTAGTATTACCTGTAGCGACTCACAGGGGAGATGTAAGGCAGGGTTTGGCTGCTTCTCTTCTCTTAAACCTGATGGCAAGAATGGCTATCTTGTGGAGAAAGGCTGCATTAAAAATGAAGTGCATCATAAGATGATCTGTGGGAAGTCAATAATTGTTTGTTGCGAGGTTAATCTGTGCAACTGGAATATAACACCTCCTTTTCCAACAGAGAAACCAAGTAAGTTTTAGAAGTCAGTCCTTGGTCATGATTCCCCTGTAAATGTAGTGCAACTTCGCTCAGAAATTCTCATATGAAACATTCCTGTACATAAGAATGTTAGCAGATTCTTGTTTTGTGGGTGTAAGTGATATCAATAAAATGACAAAATGACAAATTGACTGGTGCGAATAATTTTTTAATGGTAATTACAAGATGATTCCATATTTCCTCTCTGTGCTTTGAATGATCGTAATGTATCTTTGTATATGTATGTTTGTTGTCCTCTTTGTTTGTTTTGTAGTTTTGATTTTGTAAAAGAAAGGAAAATTGCTTTGCTGATATTAAGTTTCTGGTAAGAGCAAATAGGTTTTTAAAACACAGTTTTCCACCAAAAATTTCGACCTACAATAAACAGATATATTTCTGCCCTTTTTACACCTCGTCATTGACATTCATGACTTGTACATACAGTTATCTTCCTTCTACAGCAAGTAATCATATGTACAATTCAAAGCCCTTCATGAAAATTATATTTTTCTCTCCAAACAGCAAATTCTTCACTCAGGAGATATACAAATCAAGCTCAAAGCCTGGAGTTCATTCTGTTAAGCATCTTTTCTCCCGTGGCGGTTCTTATAGTTTTGATACTAATTTTCTACTTGGCCTATAAACATCTTCAGAAGCGCCAGCTCAATCGGCACCAATACCCACACCTCAGGTACACACACCCTTCAGGAACAGGCCACAGAAGAGGGCCTCATTCAGCACTGAGGTGCTGGTCCTGTCGAAAGAAATCAGATTTTCAGCCCTTTGCCCAGCGCACTGCGGCGCAGGATTTGGACTTGATAGCCGTGATTGGAGAAGGGAGATATGGGAAGGTTTGGCGAGGTCTGTGGCATGGAGATGATGTTGCAGTGAAGTTGTTTTACCCAAGCCAAGTGGATTTGTTCAACAACGAAGTCAATGTCACCAATGTAGTGGGAAATCACCAGAACATTCTCAGACTCCAACATTCTCACAGTGCATTCTTGTGGCATAACGAGACGCACAGTTGCATTGTATTAGAGTATCATGCCAGTGGGTCGTTGTATGATTTTCTAAGCCGCAGAACTGTCAATGTACAGGAAATGTGCTCTTTAGCCTTCTCAGCTGCTCGTGGGCTGAGCCATTTGCATGGTGAAATATACCAAAAAGAGGAGACTTTCTCAATTGCGCATCGCGACATCAAATCCAAGAATATTTTGGTGAAGTCAAATCTTACTTGTGCCATTGGAGACTTAGGATTAGCAGTTGTTGACAAATGGAAGGATAAGATCGATCTGAAGGACAAGCGTAAAGGAACACTGCGTTATATGGCTCCTGAGTTACTTGATGATACAGTTATTAAATCATTTGAATCATACAAACGAGCTGATGTGTATGCATTTGGTCTTGTGTTGTGGGAGATTGTGAGGAGAACTTTCACAGAAGGTAAGGTAATGTCTTTTTAAATAGATGTTTGATTTACCAAAAAGGTTTTTCTTCTGCTCTGGCAAAGAAATCCACTGTATTAGAAACAACTAATTTCAAAACGCAGAAAAGATTAAAACAAACGAGTTTAACTTGACTGAAATCACACCATCAAGCACCGCGTCAAGGAGGCCATTGCCATGAAACAAAGTAAACCCTGCTCAGTAAAAAGGGAGGAGGGACTGGACCTCCCGGCCATTTACAGTCTTCTATTGGGAATACGTAACAAATTTTCCGATAGGCAACCCAATCGCCTTTTTTACAACGCCAATAAAGTTAGTGGGATTCGAACAAAATAGACACAGTTATTTCTAGTATAGATGTTAGATTATTTGGACAAAGACTAGTAAACGAAAATTCCATCAAGATTGGTGGAAAGAACTTCTTGAAATCAGTAAACTAGCTGCCGAATTAGAGACCGATCTTGAAAATTACCGAAGATACATGTATAGCTCAGCAAATTGGTGAAATTTTTCTCGTTTGTCTTGTGGTGGTGGTCGGGGTAATAAGTGCTTTTCCTTAGGGTACTGTGGTTTTCTTCTCTCCTCAAGGTTCCAGTTAGACCAAGGGGAATGGTTGACAAAGAGCCACTTTTTGGATTTGCAACCACCGGCATCCCAATCACTTATTTATTATAACTGTATTTTTGTCGACCTCCCTTTTTTAAGGCAAAATACTGGAGCAGTACGCTGTACCATTTCATGACATGGTACCAGGAGAGCCAACTCTACAGGACATGAAGAAAGTTGTGGTTGAACAACAGAAGAGGCCATTTGTTCCCAACAGGTGGTCAGAGAATAGTGTAAGTGTCTCCTTTGACTTTATAGACGGTGGTTTTTGTTGATCTGAATAAAGTTTGCGGACCTCTCCGGAAACTACTTTCCGATTATTTTCAAGCGTGTAATTGGTCTAAAAATAGCTATAGTAAAATTCACATATCTCAAGGGCTAGACTTGGGGGCGCTTTCCATTTAACCAAAAACTTTCAAAAATTTGTAAACAGAGGTGGTAAATGGTACAGAAATTTCCCGGAAAAGTTTCCAGAAATTCTGAAAGCTGTTGAATGTCCGAAATGCGAACCATCCAACCGAAAACTCTAGAAATTGCGGGAGCAATCTTAAATGGAAAGAAATTTAAACCTCCGGGAAAAAAATTCGAAAATTTTTGTATACCTCGCGAGGTTTTCCTCTGTTTTTTTTTTGGAAATTTTTGTTTTTTTTTTGGAAATTTTGGACGATTCTGTTCCATTCGCTACTGGAAGTTGCCAAGAATTCAAACCAGACGTTTTGTTTGAATGGAAAGCGCCCTGGGCGTTTCCTCCCTCTGTGCCAATAGGGACCTTAAGATCCGACGACAGCGATGGCAACGGGAACGCCACAAAAGCAATAGGTTTAATTAGCAAAACAACAATTTTGCACGTGCATCACGCTTTTTTGTACATTTCTTTGCCGTCACTGCACGACTACAACGTGAAAATGCCTAATTTCACGGTGTACAGAGGACGTACACAAGCCACGACGAAATTTCTGCTCTCTTTCTGAACTTGAATATGGTTCTTAGAAATTCAACTTTAGGAGGGCTCGCCTACATTTGACAAAGTTAGTGACTTGGAGTAATCGCGATGAAGATTGAAAGAACGCGAATTCACTTTTTCAGCGACGTTTTCTCTGCCGTCGCCGTCCTCGGATCTTAAGGTCCCTATTATCCTGTCTTGTAATATCTTGTTCATAATAGTTGTTTATTCCTGCAGGTCCTCGAGTCTATGGTCAAGTTAATGAAGGATTGCTGGAAGCAAAACGCACCCGCTCGGCTTTCGTCACTGAGAGTGAAAAAGAACTTGTCAAAGTTGATGGAGTTGGTCAAACCAGCTCCAACAAATACCGCTTTATCAGACGAATTCGCGTTTATATCAGACGTCAACATCCATATTCCGGAGAGCTACAGTGAAAACCACGAGAATACTGTCATAACCTAAACTTCACAGGGAAACAGTAACGCATGTGAACATTATTCAGGGATTGCAATCGTGACTTGATTACATGTCAGCCTTCTTTCCCGCATATTTAACTGTTGTTGTTTAAAGTTGGTTTCTGTTTTTACTCGCTCCAGGCTCCATTTCGTAGGTGCTGATCCTCATTATACATACATGTATGAAACTGCTTAAATTTTACACGTGACAGAATTGAAATTTTCATAATTATATTCAGTTCCAAATTTTGTTAAACTTTAAAGGATAGTCTTTGTTTTTTTATAGGAAAATGCGCTTGGAGAGCTTAGCGCTTTTTCTCGGCGACAGAAGACGAGGAAAATAGTATTAGTTGATTTTTAAAGAATAAAGGCAGATAATGGGTTTTTCGAGTAGCCCCTTACAAGTCTCACGTGGGCAGTGAAGCTTCGGTAAGTGATTTCCTGCGTTCGTGCGGGCCTGCGCGCGCGTACTTTGCTTTTTGATGTCTGTTTTAATCAAGACCGAAAAATTCAATAATGATAGGAAAAAAAATAATAGGGAAATCGTGTAGATAAGTTTTATTTGTACAGCCGTCTCATGAAGGATAATTTACCTTTGAGTAGTATGTCGTATTGCTTGTTTAATTATCTGGTACATTCTAAGAAAAAAAACTGATTACCCGTAAGACTAGTATTTGTAGGACTGGCGCTAGTTGTTCGAAAGGCGGATAGCGCTGTCCATTGGATAAATAACTATCCACTGGATAGCGCAATTGGTTTCCCTAATACTTATCCGATGGATAGCGATTTATCCGATGGATAGCGCTATCTATCTTTAAAAATTTCCTAGAAATTGTGCTCGTTTACAGGAACAAGGTCGTGTCCTGCGTCTGCTTTGTTTTTTGCATCCGCCTTTCCATGGTCGGCCCACTGGATGCAAGCCCCGTTGGGGACTTTCGAAGCCCCTATTCTCCCCTCTCCCCCCCCTCCCCCTTTTCCCCCCCCCCCCCCCCCCATTCCCCCCTCCCCATGGGAAACAGTTGCTGCGTAAGCTCAAGACCAGGCTAGCGGATAATTTCCTGTGACAAAATTAGCCCAGTACCCAACTCCTACCCTGTTCTTTGTCCAAAGAACTTCTGTCGTTCCTGCGTCGGCTTGCTCAGCTGCCTAAGAGGCGGACCATTTGACTTTTGAGCCAGGGTGGGGGTGGTAAGGATGATTTTGTTTGGGTAAGAATTTTTTCCCCAAACCTCTGGTGTTAGAATTTTTCGTTGGGAAACAACGGCATTTTTAGTCAGGTATTTCCTTGCAAGTGTTTTCTACTCGAAACCAGTCAGTCTGCATAGTGAAGTTATCCCTACCCGGACCCCACCTCGAAAGTTTTGTCCGCTGAAAGGTGCAAGACTGGGCCGAGCGAGGGATTTTCAAAATGGCGACTTTGTACTGAGTTGTGGTGTGTCGCAGCTCTGCGGTAAAGAACTAAGGGAAAACGAAGATGTTGTTTCAAAAACATGTATAAATTAAAGACGCGGGACAGCAGACGTGAAGGTGAGTTATGTTTTTGTTACTCTGGTTTCATTTACTTGCTTGCTTGAAAAACAGAGAAGCTTATTCTGGCCGGCGCTCTGCTAGACTTTCACCCACAAGTCGACCTCTTTTATCGAGTATTTAAGTTGTAAAGATGTATCTTTTAATCTGTATTGTGGTGTAGAAGTTTGTCAGTAAGCTCAAAGCGATAGAACCATGCTTTGATGGGGTCGCGACCCAGCGAGCGAACAAGATCTAGACCGCGAGACTACGAAGGTTTTTATGCAAAGTCTACTGAGCACGCGGCTTGAAATACTCACATGCAAGCTTTAGTCTCGGATAATTCGAGGTACGAAAGGTGCAATGAAGTTCATGGTTTAGTAAAGAGTGAGAGTAGTAAAGTCCACGGAAGCCACTCAAAAATGTAAAGCGACAAGTTCTTTCCATTTTTGTCAGTTTAGTTCATTTGGCCATTCATCCATCCTTCCATTCGTATTTTTTTCTACGGTTATTTCCCCATTGATTTCCTTTGTGGGTTTCAAAGTTCAGTTCATTCCATTAGTCAGTGTATCTCTTTTATTTGTTTGTATTTGTTAATTTTTAAAAAAGTCTGTCAATTTACTTTGTGTGTTAATCCTTATGTTCACATGTTCTTGTTATAACACAAGCAATCAACTTTACGACCTATAATTAAGGACTGTACCTCTTTAAGAATCAAAAAGCACAGCTCTTGCATGGGTAGCAAAAATCAGGGAAACTTAGATATTTGCAAGGAACTTGAATTCTACGATAACCAATGTTGTGGTCTCCATAGGACTTGGATTCTTTGCGGCTGTTAGTGAGATTTAAATCAGTCAGTAGCAGGAAATTGAGCAGCTGGAACCACTTTGCCTCTGTCATAGAAGCTGCAGAGAAAAATCCCCGGCCCTAGCCCTCTTATTAGTTATAGAAGGCTATGGCTCTCGCATGGTTCCAACAAGTATCCAGGAAACAGAAAACTGATATTTGCAAAGACCATTGAATTCAAAAATGATTTTGGGGGTGCTGGTACAGGTGTGCAGGATGGCGGGTGTACTTTTTGCAGCAAAGATCGCTTAGCGTAATGAGAAATTATCTCTTATAGCGTTGCATTTTAGTTCTCTAAAGTTTTTGGATTTCTCAGTCTCTGCTGTCATCTACTTTTCAGGCCCAATGTATTTGTAAGCCATGGAAAATGTTTTGTATTACAAGGACATCATCCTTGAAAGCCGAAGTTTGTGGGTGGAATGTATGCAGACAACTGAACAAAAAGCACTGTTTTTGATTTTTGTAAGTATGACATTTTTATTCTTTAATGGTTAATACCATACATTAGAGCCCGTAAAACCGGTTTAATATAGCAAATTCTATTGCAAGCTTTTCACAAAAGCAAATCTTAATTACTCTTTTAAAATCCCTTGACAAAAGGATCTTCAACAAATTGGGTGATATAATTTGAACAGCTAACAAACTTTCCAGTATCAATGTAAAACTGTAGAAACTCAGATAAAGTTTTATTCACAACAGAGCTGTCACTAAGGGCTTCCTGCTGGCTACTATGAGCACTATTCCTGGTTACTTTGAGAGAAAACAAAAGGAAATTCGAACGTGAAGAACTTTCTAGCTATTCAATTTCCTGCCTACTAATTGTATATACCCAGCAACTTGAAATCTTAGTGACAGCCCTGTTAGTAATAATGTCCTTTTAAGTTATCTTCTATAATTTATTATTATCTCTGAGTATTGGGTTAAATGATAGGATAGTGTAATGGTTGTAGAGTTTTGATTGTGAAGTGTAGTACAACTATTAAGAAACTCTCTGAAAGGAGTAGATTACTCAAAACCACAACTTAATGTACAAGGGGCATTCTCCAGTGGTGTCATTTGACTATTGAGTGATCAGTATCAAATTTATCCTTGTAATATCAATGCTTTGTAATACGAGAATTACGGACATGATCACACTAGATGAATTTGCTTGATATTTTATCAACTTCTCCCCACTGCTTCTGCAGGAAACGAATAGGGGCAACAAATGAAAATTCCAATTTTGATCTTAGGGTTTAAAGGGTTAAGGACTGACCTTGGGACATATAGTATATTTATTCACTTCTCTGTTCAGCATTGCCATTGCAGGCATCGGGGTTTCATGGGAGCCTTCCTCTGACACTAGGAACTCTTAGATTGCTTAGCAATCAACGACGAATTATGATTGGTCAATGAATTTCAAAACAACCAGGAAACAATGATAGCTCGCAAATGAGCAAATGACTGTGAAATTTTTAGCACTAAAAGCTGTTGCTTTCGTCTCCAAGGTTGTTGAGTTTTTAAAGTCAGTCTCCCTCCGCGGTCACTTGTTCGTCCCCCAAACTCCTTCTGCTAAGTCTTCTAAGATATGACGGGCTTATCTTAAATCCTAATCGTCGGAGTTTTTCTCTGAAATTTCTTTGTCTGAGAATTTGTTTATCTGGAAATGTTTTTTTCTTTTGATAAGGAGAATCGTTGAACGATTTATGACTTAATACTTCAAGAATTGCATATTCTTTTATATAGATTTTAAAATATATGCTGAATGAGAAGATTTCACAGTTGACGTAAGAACTGTGACCATATGACTGAAAAAAATTGAGTTTTGTTTTCATAGTTATTTAAAGTCAATAGCTACATGTGCGCTATGAAATTGTCCAAATTGCTTCTACAAATAGCCTCCCATGCAGACGTTCTTTGGGCTTGGTCATATGTTCCCACCCCACGAGGATTTTTTTTCCTGTAAGTCTAAGGGCTTTACCTTTTATGAGACCTTTTCTGACTTTTCTAACCTTTCTGATCTTCCGAGATTTAAAAGTGCGCTGTGATTAGTGTGCGTTTTCATCCGCTGTTTTCAGCAGACCTAACCTGCAAGAAAGCTCTCCTGGGGTTCCCGGGGCTGCGGGGTTGCTGAAGGTAAGAGGGAAGGACTCCTTTTTTCTCCCCGCCGTCAGAGCGCCCGGGAGAGCTTACTCGCAGGCTACAGCAGACCTTCGTAGGGCAGGAACGCGTGACGAAGCCGAAGAACGTCTTCGTGGGAGGCTAGTCTACAAACTATAGTTATGAAACGTTCCCTTTTTCCAATTAAATCGTCACCTCCACGCCCCACACGTGATCTGGTGGGGAGGGGCATGGAGACTGTTCATCGCTCACTCTTCTCCACCTATTGTTTTGGGCCCCGTCTTCCGCCCGTGACTTGTCTCCGTAGCAACTAGAAACCGTCTCAGTCGCCTCACAATTTTTGACGTCTTTTGGGTTAAGAAAACTGTCCATAGAGGCGAAACGACGCAGTGTTTTTGACGATGCTTGCGGAGCTGGGTAAAAAAATGTCACTTCTGTTTCGAGTCTGTCTCCGAAGAAACAATTTGACCTTTCATTTACAAGGACTTTTGGATAAGGCAGTGTACTACTGGTTGCTCTTTTCAGTTTTTCCTTTTCATTTGGCACTTCCGTGTAGAAACTTTCCTCCATACCTTTGTAAATAACACCATTTTCAGAGAATATTTTGTTCCTGTTTCGGGCTGGATTTTGAATGTTCACTTGTTTAGATTCTTGTTTCTTATCACACTTTTCAGCCTCTGGCGTGTAGAAGAACGGCAGGTCGGTTGGTAGACGGCACAGTCGTTTTTTCGGCGTCAGGCGCTTTACGTTTGTCGCCTCTAACGTCAGGTAGCTTGACGCTGCACTCGCTTTTGGTTTCTCCGTCGCTGTTGGAGTCAGTTTTTCAGACTTATCACCAACGTGGAAATCTTTGCTAGAAGTTTTTTCAACATGAGAGCGACAAATTGACACTTGACCAGTAATGGCGACTGGCTCATTCGATTCTTTATCTTTTGAGGTGTTCGGCAAATCTTCTGCTTCCCTGACCTTTCTCTCGCCATGGCTGTTCCGTGAAGCCGGCACATTATACAATGATCTTGACCGGGTCATTGTGCTTGGACGCCTCGTTTTCCTTTGAGACTGCGCAGACTCAAGGGTCGTAGTATTCACATCTGCCTGGCCATCTTGAAATTGACGTTCATTCTCCAACGAGAAAGTGACGTCATGCATTGACCTGCTTCTTCGGTGTTTGTATTTGCCGCGTGATCTTTCGCCTCGGCGAAGAAAAGATAGCTTCGAGAAAAGGTTTCTTTTAAGTCTTCGAGGCTCTTTGTCTTTGCTGCTGTCGCTTTCTTCAGACTCCAGAGAGTCACACTTTTGCTCTTCGCTTTCGGAAGTGGTGAAGTGTCCATTTTCCGCCACTTTTTCCTTTTTTGCCAAAGTCATTGCTTTTTCAAGCCAATCCTGTAGTTTTTTGTTGACTTGGTTGGCAAACTCTTCCCGATCTTCTAACACTTGTGCTCGTTTTACGTCGAAATCTGTTGGAAAGCCCTCTATAGGATGATCAACAACATCAATTTCGCTGTCGATCGCTCCTACTTCCAACGATGTTTTCTTGCTTGATGATTCAGATTGTGGTTGTTTGATTTCGCCTTCCTCTTTGTCAGAGTGAAAGGCTTCGCTTTCAGAAGACCTCTCTGATGGCGTTTTAGACGCCCCGGCCCGAGTGGCATCACGCAGCTTTTCTGTAAAGTACGCCTCAAGTTGATCGAGCGATTCACGCTGCACAGGTGCTCGATCATGTGACTCGTACCCACCTCTCGGTTGGGGCTCGTTTTCACCGAGAGAATCTGAATCGGAGCCTGGAGCCATGGCAGAAAGTTCATGCAGGGCACCCAACAATTCTTGCATCTCAGTGCCCAAGCTTCCGCGTCGCTGGTCAAGTTGCCTGACAGGGTCACTTGCGCTTGCGCGTAACGGCTGTCTAGGTGATCCCTGAAGATCGTTCAGTGAATTTAGCAGCAGATCCATCTGACTTTCGACCCTGTTTAACTTCTTGCGCTGCACAGGGCCATCCGTAAAGTCGCAATGATCCATCGACTCATTGTTCTCTTGTGTGGTGACCGGTGATGGATCTCTAGCTGGTTCTGGGCTCGCTGACTGAGTTTTCCTTTTAAAAGAGTTAGAAAATTTGGTGATTTTATTCATTAACCTGCCTCGCCTTGGGGAAGAGTCGTAACTGGTACCTTCAGTCTGTTCCTCCATGACTTCACTCTGTGATGACCCTAAAGGACTGGGAGGTGTCATCCATTCGGATGAAAAAACATCACCGCTAGAGCCCCTGCGTCCCATTCTGAGGGGACTGAGATGTTTTCGCTGTTTATTCATATTTGGTGTATGCAATATGCCTTCAGAGCCTCTTCTTGCTAGCATGTCTGGACTAACAAGTCTGTCCATTGTAACTGAACGCAAAGCACTGGGGCTTTTCGGTCTCATTTGTCTTTGCACTTCTCTGGAAATGTCTTGGCTGGAGACACTTCTTGCCATCGCCATAGGACTTTTTGGCGCCTTGAGCGGATTGGCTCGTTCGCCCAGCAAAATCTCTCCACTGGAACCCCTTCTGCCCATATTTGGTGATGGTTTTCCAGTTTGAGCACTCTGAATACTCAACAACACCTCTCCACTTGAACCGCGCCTGTCCATATTAGGCTTGCGTTTGACTGTTACGGAAGTTTGATTGGCGTTGATGTCAAGCGCTTGAACTGCTTTGGACTTTAACTTCCGCAAAGTGGATGGCGATTGAGGAGTGACCGGAAGTAGCCTCCTTACTCTCAAGGATTCCTCCTCATTGTTAGGGGAGCGTGGTAGATTTCGACTCTCCTTTGCACCATTCGGGCTTTTTCTTCGTGGTCGTGGAGAATTTGGGTTGGACGCGACACCCGGTTCTTCTGGAAGTGCTCTGTGGGGTATTGAGCTTGTTGCGCTCCCTGGCACAAGTTCCTGTAGGGCACTGTACAAATCCCGTATTTCGCTGACTGATGCAGAAACCCGGCGTCTATCTAACAGGGCGGCAGTTCCTTTCGGATCCACCTCCTTGTAGACTGAGGGCTGCGTCATGTCTTTTGAGCCATGAGGAACTGAAGGCGCCGGGACTTCTATAGAAAATAATAAAAAAAAGAAAATGGACGAGATTAGAAATGGTTTAAGTCCTTCTAAACACTTCACGTATTATATATTTGCCATGAATACTTGCATTACACAGGGTAGTAAAGATCTAACAGAAATGTTCATAGTGGTAATGATGCTGCTGATAATAATAATAATAATAATAATAATAATAATAATAATAATAATAATAATAATAATAATAATAATAATACGTAGTGTACATCAGGTTTAGTCACAAAAGCGTCAAAATTCCGTTATTGAACTTTTAACATTAATCTTGACGAACTGTTGCGTGGATTTATCCTGTCAAAAGTTGCCTTAACGTCAAGTTATGGACTTCCGAAGCTAGAAATTTCCAACTCATAAGAAAAAAGGATGATTGTCAGCTGAATTTGCGATTTCTCCTGTTAGATAAACTGTAGCGACCTTGAGTTAGTGTCCTCATAAGCGAGATTCCGTAACAGCGGGAGTTAATTTCAGTCAAACATCTCCAATTTTAATATTTTTGCCTTGGATTTAGCTGCTGTCCCTATTATCGGGGTGTCCGTTATAGCGGGGTTTGCGCAAGGCGAGAGGTTACTGTATTGCTAATAGCATTTTAAGGAAGACAATGAAAAACTTCAGAACCTGAAAGCGAGGATCGGAATGTTAAATTCTAAAATCAACGATCACTTTCAAAACGTGCAGGGTCATTTTAACCTTATGTATTATAGCTATAATTTTTTTGCATAAGGTTTTGCCTTGACTAGTGAAACAGATAAATGACCAACTTAAATTTCATTTAGTTTGCTTTGTATTTGACTTGTAATCTCAACGTGAGGTAACTTGAACAAAATGCGTTCCTACTTCATCAAACCTTCAGTAAGAAACTTCCTGAGACTAACTTTAGAAATACATTTTTGCGTAGCTTTTCATATTCAAGAACAAGTTCCCTCACGAATTGCTTAGTCACCAACTTCAATCGACGTCCGCTCAAATATTTCGATTTGGAATGTAAATGGTAGCATTAGATATTTATGAAAATTAGAGTACTGTCTGTTATGAGAAATAGCTCGATACCTTTCTTTAACAGGATAATAGCGCACGACGTGGTCTCTTGTGGAGTGGAATATTTAATTAAACAAGTGAATAAGGGAATTTGTTTTGAACCATCTTAAGTGGCGTTTTAGATGAACCTGTTCATCTGCGTCGGTTTTGTTAGAGTTTTCGATTTCAATTATTTTAGGACAAATAACGTTTTGTATGATATAAATAAAATCTAAACGATTTGGCTTTTATTTAATCAAAACTTTCGTTTTAAATTGCAAAGTTTTGAATATTATGGGTAAATCTACATATTAAATCGGAAAGATGTTCACACGACCAAGAAAGATAGAAGTTGAAAAGTTTGTCTTAACTCTGAGAAAAATATTATCAACAACCTGGCTAAAGAAATAATAATAACAACAACAACAAATTCGAAGAATTGACCTTAACATTCCATGTGATCTGTCTTCTGAAGTTTCTAGAATTTCGTTTAAATCAGCATTTATGTGGTCAGCAAAGCTTGATAGGAAACCGTGCAGCTTAACCCGTAACACTTAGCATGCACGTTAACAACAAAATCATGTTCTCAGGTTTCCTTAAAAATTATTCCTCGAATTCATTTCGCAACAACAGAAAAGTGATAAAACCAAAGACAGTGTCACAGTCACCTACTCGGAATTTGCAGTCTGCTTTTATCCATGTCTGTCCTTGATAATGAATTTATCAGACCACCTTGAAGTGACACTATGATGACATGAGCAATCTAAGTAACGAGTCCATCGAGGCATCTCTTGAGCGATATTAACTTCTATTTAAACGTATTTGCAGTATTTCTTGTAAATCAATTTTCTTAGTTGCGTGAAGTGTTTTGATAAGTAACAATTCCACCTGCTGAGTCACGTGATTTTTCATTAGCTAGGAGATAAAAGATGACCGCAGGAAGCTGGCAAATTATAAAACTTGTATTCTTTTATAGCTGTCAAAAGTGTCAAGGATACTAAGTGGAACGACCTTCCACAGGGGTCATTTGTCAAATCATTCCTACTTTTTGCTGGTTTTAAGATAAACACAACCGGTTTATATCAGAGACGAGTTAATAAAATGTGATCTTGAAAAAGAATTCGTCGTTTCGTCTCTGAATTCATTGCATGCGCAATGCAGCAAAAAGTGCAAACCAATTATCAATCTCATTTACAATGAATAATACTTCAGGGTAATTTCCAGTTTAAAATTTTTACCAGCTTTTTTTTATCTCTAATCGATTCGTCGAAACTTTCTGTCAAGAGTTTTAACGATGTTCGCTTCGTTTGAAATGTATATGATACACAAACGAGTTTCTGTTATCATAACGTGCTGTATCTCGCGTAAAAATATTTACTAGGTTAATGAATATTTATTGCCAAACAAATTTCGTTCGAATATAAGGATAATCTAAAGGCGCGACCAAGTTTTTGAAGTCAGTGCTTCAGTTACAATTTTTATTATTTTCGACACTTTTTATAAAAAAAAATTAAATCTGAATCTCAATATAACATATTTTTTGGTCACTCTTATGATAATTCTAGTCTCAAGGTCTAAGATATTTAAAAACAGCTCTCGAACACAATGTAACGTGTTATGTAACTTCACCTATCCTTTTCGTGCCTCGTGGACATAAGGCCTCAAATTACGTGTTATATAACTGGAGGTGTAAAATACAAACGTGTCTTTTTCTTGGCTACACGACATTTTCTCTTGATTTGGATTGGCGATTTAAGCGAAAGAAAAGATCGAGGCAATGGGGAAGAGCCTTGTAAAAATAAGTTTGCTAAAATTTAAAAGCGAGTACTGTCAGATTACTTCCAGGAGCAACACCTGCCCCACCAAGAGGATGGTTTGAATGAGTGGGAGGAAAGAAAAAAAGTAATTTGTTAAGCAGTTTTTTCTTTCAAAACACGATGAAAAAAACCTGAGAAAGTGCAAGTCGCAATCTTTCCCCTTGTCTTTGTTCAGGACGAAAGACAACCGTTAATAATTTCTTACTCGCAGTGAGATCCTTCGTTAGAAATTAATAAAAGGAGACGTCGAGCGTGCGACGGTTGATTGGATTCAGTTTTACACGAGGATCGTTTCATATCGCTACATGAATCATACGATACAATTTTATATCAGCCTAATTTGAATGATGATGGCAGTCCTATGACCATTTAAGAAGTCAGATAGTTGTTTTTGTCTCCCGTCTATTTAGCCATATATTAAATAAACATTGATATCTGTAAATCTGCTTATAAGATAATCTATGCCTGAGGACAAATAATAACTCTACTTCAAATAAAACTAATCCATGGCACACACAGGCAATTATTAAGTCTCAATTTCGTTTTTAGACTCGATTCAAGAATCGTTCAATCTAAAAATAGCACTTCTTTTAACTAAAAATGCCAACTTTTGTTGTTGCACGACTTGTGGTAACCAAAATATGTGGGCATATTATTTCGTCCGTTTTGCTACTTGCGGGTCACTCAAACCATACTCAATTGAATTTCTGCGATATTTTTGCTCGTTTTTTCACTGGAATAACCTTTTCTTCCCGATCAACTTCTCATTGCTCAAGTTTTCAGTTATTAAGTGGTGTCATCCGCTCCATGTGTTTGCTCAAAACGCGAACTCTTGAACAGGAAAAAATTCAACAACAAAGACTGCAAGGTTTTACCTTCTGCAGTAGTTCTTCTAAGCACACGAAATGCTTTCTCGCTGTTTCGTCGGTTTCTCTCCCAAAGTGGAAGTCGCATTTTTGCAAACATAAGTGGCTATATTCATCTGTGAAAATCTTCGAATTGGCGACGAGAAGTTGTAAATTAAGCAGCGCTGATACGTTGACGTGCTACTCACGGCCATGTATTGTTTTCAAATTAATTTGTGTAAATGTCAAAGATTTGGGTAAACGAAACCACAATGTACAAAGACAATGCCAGAGGCAAACTAGGGCGCCTATTGTAAACAGAAAACGAGTAATGTTGACTGGCTAGGTATCAAGTGATAATAACAAAATGACAGAATGGTAAATTCGTGGGCTGGTAGCAAAAATTATTCTTATCTGCTTTTTAGACAGTAATTTGTGTGTGCTTTCGTCCGCTGTCTGGTGTTAGCATGTGACCAGCCTCATAAGCAACATCTGTATAGATAAAAATTTCATGTCTTTTTGATTCTTTTTTTCAGTCACTTCATATCAAGATCAAAAAACAAATCACTAAAACAAGTTGGTAAAACGAAGGCAAGCTTCATACTGCGATTTTAATATAAGTACAAACTGTTTTGAAAATTGAAGTCAAAGAAAAAACCGTAATGGAACTTCTTGAAGTTATTTGTACAGGAATAAAACCTGCAATTTAACCGTCTACAAATTTCTAAAAACATACGGCCAGGTCACCGCACAAGCTCGTAGCCGTCATATCGTCAGCCCCAGTCCCTTTCAAAATCCCTCTCTAACTCCAATGATGTCACTGTATTACGAGGCCGACCCATCGCGCGCAGCGTAGTAGATAACACCGATGCTCGTCGAGTGAGTGATTATAAATGAAGCTCTTCGTTTAGGGACGCGGGTGCAGTGTTCACCCCGGCATCACGAGAACGAATGCGTGGAAAAAGGATGTTGAAATATTACTCAGTGTGGCGTTCACGTCCAAAGAAAGCGCAGAGTCTCCCAAACTGATAGTTTTTTGCTTTGTGGAACATGCGTAAGAAGTCACAATACTGACAATTCATTTAAATTCTTGAGCGTCCTTTCTTCGACCATGAGAGATCCTTTTATAACTTTGTAAGCTTCGAACTTTAAGAATCAAACCAGCGTTCATGTGAATGAACTTAGACAGCCAGACAAGGCAATTAGTGAACCTTTAAATTATCTATGCCTCCTTAACGAAACAACAGCAATACCCTTGGGGCATGAACGGTACGATGAACTGCAGAATTCATGAGAGCTTTTTTTTCTTTCAAAGCGCATGGTAGATATCTTAGTTAGTGGTATAGTAACGGTGCAGCGTTCTTTACTATTTTGTATGTTGTCTTTGTTACATCGCAAAAAAATTCATCCAATCAAATGTTAAAAAGCAACAGTCACACTGAATGAAGTGCGTATACCTCGCTCTATCCAAAGCATTAGGGGAGTGCGTTAACCTCTTTAACTCTTTGACCAAGTTGTGGTGATACGATCTGCTATTCTAACTTTTGCATCTGTGAACAAAACCCTATTGTGTCACCATTCAAATGGAACCTGTTAGACAAAATTATTTTACAGAAACGAATTTTAAAATTTTTGAAATTTTTACTTAATTTTGGAGGGGAAGGCGTACAAAACTACACATTCAAAGCTTACCAATTGTGGACTCGCTGCTTTCAAATCCAAACTGATCACAATTATCGTCAGCCATTTCATTTTCACGGTTATGTCTACGAACTTAGCCTGACGTTATTACACGGCATAATTCTGCTAAATGCATCTGTTATCTTCTTAAACCAAGTTGCCTTCGTTTGTCGTTTGAAGCGTGCGATATTTACAAAGAAAGTTCTCAACCTACGCTAAACACATTGGGAAGAAAAACAAAACGAAGCGAATATTGATATTTTCACTGTTTTGTGACGTAGAAAGGTTAATTGCTGTATTAGGTGCCGATAATTTTAAATTTCTTTTGATAATATCACAAAGAAATAAATCGCCATTAATTAGTTCTTTTTGCATTACCTTTCTATATTCTTTGCGCTTGACAAAAGAAAATGTAGATGAAAGTGCTAATAATGCTGATAAACTTTAATTAAAGGCTTATAAAGTACAGGACAGTGAGAAAAAAATCATAAATTCACTCGTCTCTTACCTAGTGGAAATAGCCTAACTCGATTGAGGGCCGATGCATGGAAATAAGAACTAGGTGATAATATCTCTGGATATATGTGAATTAGATTAAGTTTATAAAGAATGATGTAAAACTATTACAGTAAGTGCGCCCTTGAGTCTTTTGTCCTTCTTAGGTGACGTTGAATGTCTATAGACAATCAGGTATGTTAAAAGCTGCTTGTATGGACGGGTCTCGATCGTCCATAGAACGTTCCTATAGGCATTAAGTATTTTTGGTAACGTACAACATTAATCATTGCGTCTTCGTAAGAAGAGGAAAAAGGCTTCTGTTGGATTTACAAAGTGTTACAACTTGTCAAAAAGGGACAATTTTACAGAGCACAGAAAACTTCCATAGTAAATACTTGTGCCTCGCCAAGCGCGGGAAAACGCGTTTCAGCTAATCACAATTTTTGTGTAGTTTTTTTTTTTTCTGATTGGTTTATAAAGTGGCGCAATTTTCCTTTTAGCCAATCACAACAGGGCAGACGGTCAAATGGACCAATCAGTAATTGAAGCCGTGCTAACTAGCGCGGGATGTGCGATCTAATCTCCAACTTAATCGGGTTTTCTTCTTAGTCGGGTTGAGTATGAGTTGTTATGGAAACTAATACCAATTTTGTAATAAGTGGTGAGAGGTTTAAGCTAATAACAGTTTAAGGTAACAATTCTAAATAAAAGCCAATCAAAAAATTTTCTTTGGACATCCATGACCTTACAACAAAGTACTAATAAATAACCATGTATAAAACTTGAAATTGAAGTCAGATAGCAATACAGTGTTCATTGATAAAGGTTAAATTTGTCTTATTAGTTACCTTCAATCTCCACTGATATTTCGTTGCTATTTACTTTGACCATTTTGTCTTTCCCTTTTTTATCTTTGGTAGATTTCTGCAATAAATAAATAAGCATATAAGTAAATAATTACATACGTATGCACATTTATAAATTTTCACTCACGTGATCGGCAGCTACGCAAATTTCTTAAAAGAAAAGAAAGTTTTTACACGAGAAAAGAGTTTAATCCCCACAGGATTTTCTTGGAACTCCAAAATGGTCGCTGTTGCATTGCTTTGTACACCAATATGGCGGCCTTGACGTCATGTGAAAACAATTTTACCGCCGAATACCCTAATTAAAATACTAACCACTAAAACAGACCGTTGAGCGGGTTTTATATCGTGGACGATGCTGTTCGGTATTTTTTGCATATGCAATAATACAAATATTGTCGCCTTCCGGGGCATCCAGTAAATATAAGTCTTCGTGCACGGCAACTGATTGGGTGCGGAGATCCGAAAAAAAAAAACAAAACCGGCACTCTTTTTTAAGTTCACTCTGAAACGTGCTTCGTAGAATAATGAAACCAATATCTTCATGCATTATTCATGTTGTAGTTTAACTAGCGGTATAGGAGGCGATATTAATGTTAGATTAAAATTATAAAGAAAATATTCTTCAACACCAACAATTTGTTGAAAGTTTAGCAGAACTTTCAGAACCCACCCGGATCCCTTCATCAGTGATGACGTTTGCTGATATAAGCTCTGCTAAACTTTCAACAAATTGTTGGTGTTAAAGAATATTTTTTGGTAATATGATGTCCCAACAGAAGAATCTCCACTCTGTCATAGATTAAAATTAAAATAGGCAAATTATTAGAAAAAATTATCTGTTGCTGATTAGCTTAAAAATCGAATACAGTTATAAAACAGGTATTACAAATGTTGATTGTATAGCTATGCAGTACATGTGTATTTTGGCGAAGGAAATTCGTCGAAAGATATTGTAGTGTAATTCGTACCGAGTCTCGTTATGTGCATGACCTGGAAATCTAACATCACAATTCAAGTATACGCGAACGATGATTCGATGAGCAAATCAAGTGGTAAAAAAAACAACAATAACGCCTCATCGAAGGTTAATCAAGTGGTTCCTAAAGATATCTTGTTGACTTCTTGTACCGTGGTTCCCTGTAGTTTTTGTCGTTTGAAAAGCTTACTGAGACGAGACTCCAGTAGTAAGTGGCAAAATAAATTACATCTAGAAACAATCTTTGCCTTCAAACTTATCAAAAAAACAAAATGTTTAATATCAAAATTGAAAACTACAATCTTACGAGCTTTTCCTTTAAACAGTTTTTAAAGTGGTTTTGATTAACACCAATTCAAATTTTGCTATTAGCTCAGATACAAGTAATGATACCAGATAAGCTTCACAGAGTGATTAGAATAATTAATAACCTTTTTGGGTTTATTCGTACTGGAGACTCAAAGAACCAAATAACCAAAGAATCAAAGAACCGAGACAGAAGCTTTTATTAGCTGATACTAATTCCATTTACATTTTTTGCGTGATTTTCAATTGACTAAAAGTTTTGGTACCAAGGCAAAGAACTAAAAAACTCGGTAAGAAAGTCTCTAAGGATGTTTTGAATTGACAAAGTTCGTTTGGATTCGCCACAGAATTTCATTCGCGGCGAAAATGCGCACAAGAATTGCTCAGAAACTGCCATAGTGCATTGTGAGAAGAACTGGTATCTCAAGGAAAGCTAGTTCAACACCTTGTATGCTGTTAGATGTTCAATTATATAATTGGAAGTAAATATCATATCAACGGGAGTCTGTATTATTGTTTCGTGTAAATGATCGAGGTGTGGATCAAGAATACATCCACAAACTATGCATGTCGAGAGTAGCTGTGAGAAAATTTGATCGTCAGTGGAAAGTGAATTTCAAAGGAAGTACATACCCTGAACTGTTTATTTCATGTGATCCCTTTCTCCTACAATTTGACAAAGCCATGAACTGATCTCATACACTTCACTTGCTTTGGCCTTTCGATTGATTATGAAATTTAAGAAATACTTGTCTCTTGATTTTAAGCTTTCAATATCACGGAATCCGCCGTGACGTTTCGAAGCTATCTTATGCTGACACTCTGTAGTACGAAAGTAAAGCACCCTTTCCGTTTCGCTCCATAATAGTTCATGACAAGGCGCATGATCTATTTTTGATGGCGACAATGGATTAAAGTGTTCGTTTTCTTTGAAAACGTGATAATGTCAGCGAGAAGATTAAGTTTTGTTATGCCAGTTAACATTTTCCGGCCTTGTTAAAGGCATTGTAGACCACTTTAATTATAATGTGGTCCCAAGGGCTTTACACAAAAACGACGGAGAAACTAGTGTGTGAGCTATTTTTGCTGAAGATTGGTAGGCTATCTGCGTCATTTTCTTGTTGATCACGACAAAATAATTTTTGCTTAAATTTATTCAGCTTGTTTGTCTCCTAGTTTTTTTCCAACAAACTCAGTGTTATTATCACCTGACGCGAAGACGATTGCGCAAGATTAAACAGTATAGCTAATCAAACTTCTCCTTGCAGAAAAAAAAAACCGCGATTTTAAAACTGTCAGGCAAGTAATTGTAACCGCGAAATATCAATTGTAATGTCTTCAGTGATGTAGCACCAAATTCTCCCAGCCGGTACTACATGAAATGCTTGGTAGATAAAACTTAAATCGATTCGGAGTAAAGGTGCTTTTGTTTCGGAACCCTTGATGCCTGTGTTTTTTTATTGTAAACACAATACTCTCTAAGGGGGTGTTCGGTTTCCATTACAAAAAAGAGCAATTAGGTGGTCGCTTTACAGAAAATATTGCTTGCGCACGCTTCAAATAAAGTGTTAACGAAACTCACGTCACGTAACAGTAAATAAACACATTAATAACAAAAAAATTACACAAACAACATCTTAAATAAATGTTAAGAAACAAACAGGTGCCCTTGTTTTAGTGAATTTCGTGTTTTAATTTTTTGCTCGCTAAAAGAATACAAATTTCAACAATCTGTTTTCAGGTAAATATGATGCCTTATCATGTTTATAAGGTTTAATATTTTTAATCGTTTTTACTTTTCATGGATCGAAGCTTTCCCTTCATAAGCACATTTCAGATTGCCGGATGGGTGGTTGTGATGTCATCACTTCGTTCTGACATATTTGTTCTTCATTTTTTTAGTTGCGAAATTTGAAGACTATACTGATAGATTCCCGTACATTTTAAGGTTTTAAATTAGTTAAGTCAATAAATCTGGGTAGTTAAAAATGTCATTTCATTACAAAAACAAATAGTATGTTCGAATTTACCTGTAATAATAATTTGGGTTAGATTTTATGAGGGAAAACATGAACCTTTTCAGTAGGAGCGTTAAACGTGTTTAAAACAACGGATTAATAAATTTAAAGATATCTTGTTTAAAATCCCGAAAAGAAAGATTAATTTCCATGTAGTGAGTTTTGCACGATTTAAGAGGAGACATTGTTTATTTTTATTTATGTTAACGGTACTTAGCCGGTTTGTTTTGAAAATAAAATCTTGAAGTTGAGTTTTCGGTTTTAGTATCTTGTTATAGTTTGATCAGATATGGCGGTGAGTCCTTCTCGCCTTCTCCACGAAATTTATAAAACTGAAATGTCTTATAATAATACATCACCGAATTCACATAGCATGTCCATATTTTCGTTTCAAGTCTTTAGTAAGAAATACTGTCTTGATGTATCAATCAAAAAGTAAAAAACATGTCGAATATCTTACCTCAGCCCTCGGCACTTTCATAGCTCATAATGCTTTTCTTGTAACAGCTAATAGCCTTCTTCAGTGTTTCACAAAGTTAAATTAAAATTCTCGACGTGACTAAGCATTTGGCAAAAGGATGTCAAACTGTTTCACTGGACCATGAAAACAATGTGAAATCTTAAACTTTGGTGATTTAATCGCAGATTGGCCCAGACAAAACAACAGGTGCCTTCGGAAGCATAAAATTGTGCGTCGTAATTATATTACCAGTACTCGTAAATTCTTCTCAAATTATGAATCTATAACTAATTGTATTATCTGAGATGAGAATGTAGCAGTTGATCATCCAACGCTTTTTAGTTGTTATTAGGATGAAAATTTCTCTTTGAAGTTCGAATTAGTAAAAAGAAATTCTGATAACCAAAAGAAGATTAAACGCTGGGAAAGGAAACTAAACTGGTGAGTTTCTCAAATAATAATAATAATAGTAATAATAATAATGATGATGATAATAATAATGATAATAATAATAATAATAATAATAATAATAATAATAATAATAATGATAATAATAATAATAAATCAATAATTAGTTACAATACAGGAGAGGTGACTCTCATGGATTTGATTTTTTGTTGTTGAAATGAGAAATTCGTTTTGCAAATTCTAATGAGTAAAAAAGAAATGCCAATATTAAAAAATCAAAGTGTTGAGAAAGAAATATAGAAATATAAACAGGAAAATGTTTCAGATTCTTTTTCATTGAATATATCCAAAATTACTTCTTCTTTTAACAAAATATTTTTTAAATTTATAAATTTATAGTAATTGGTTAATAAAATATTTACGGATAGGCCACAGATATATCATCATCTTAACATAACTACCAGAAGCTTTTAGTTGAATATGATTTTCAAAATTGTGAACAAGGAATGTCCAGATTGATTCACAAGTTATAGAACTTATATAAAAAATACCCATAGCTACAACACTCGATTATCTTCTAATAATGCCTTGGCTGTACCGAAATGCTGGTTAGACGCGGGTCTGCGAACATTTCATGCAAGTGCGACTCGCCTTTGGAATCGTCAAGACAACAAGCTTAAAAGCATGACAAGAAATATTTTCTCGAGAGATTCTTAAACATTAATGCAAGTCGCAAGCATTTTAGTATTACAAGGACATTTTAAGGTACCTTTTTTCTTTTTTCTAGTTTATTTTTAACCATTTTCAATTTTTTCCCCTTTAACTTCTTTTTACGATATCTTTTACATTTGTGGGGGGCAAATATATTCAAGATTCACTTGAATAACGAAAGCAATAAAAAATGAATTCTGGTAGTTGCAGTAAAACCGATGACGTCATCGTGGAAACTGAAGATGTCGCATGCAAGCGAGGCATAACAGCCCTTGCACAAAGTATCATGCCGATGGCAAACGAAAAACGCTTCGTCCTAGCAGCGCAAATTTTGAAGAATACAAAATATGAGGTCACAAATAGAATTATTGTGCAGCTGAAAAGTTGTCAAATTATTAGTTGAATATATTATAGCGAAAACACGTTTGAACCAGAGAAGTGTAGATAATTATGTTCGGGTAATAAGCAATAAGCGATGTCTCGATCTGGAGTAAATGAATTCGTTAATTTAACAGTAATACGAGCTGTTAACAACTTTGTATAATAATTTTTTATGCGTCAATTACCTTCTCACCCAAAAAAGCCAAATCCAGAGGAAAATAAATAATGTATTTGTTTGTAAGAATTAGCGGTCATGAATAAAGAGAAATGACTGACGAAGAAGGGAGAACTTAAGAAATGGACAAATGCAAATCTGGTTGACCCCTCAACTGGTGGTGGTTAATCAGTACACTGTGGGAACTAAAGTATCACAAGGCAATGTGAGATAGATTTCTGAGCGGGACTGGGACCTATTACTAATAAACTTTCCTCTTCTTTTACAAAGGAAAAAAAATTCTATCAAATTGTTATTTTTTCTCGGCTTAAAGACAGTGAATGCCAAGGAGATCCTTTCACAAATAATCTATTGATGACTTAAATTTGATGGTTCAGACTTATAACTTGAGTCCGTCCGTGATGTAACAGTTTTGATCATTTAAAAGACTCAGTACATATTGATACTATAATAAAAAGGTTTTAAATATTTTTCTCCATACCATTTTCATATTGCCCATAATTCACCTTTTTTATGCAAAATTTTGGGGGTAGCCTCCAAAATTTTGCATAACCATTGTTTCAGGATTTTCTTGGGTGTTACACTCATGCCAAGAGAAATTTATGCAAGTTTTTTTTGCCGGGAGGGGGGTAACAAGGTGGCTTAGGTGGAAATGGTAATGACAAGACTTTTTTCGACTTTTTTTATGTTCGAAGTGTTACTGTTTCTGGAATTTTATGCCAAACACTAGAATTGCTTTCTTGTGTCGTGCCTCATTCATTTTTTGCTTCTGTTGTTTACCTTCCTTTGATTTAACTTAACCAACTTGTACTGTATCAGTTGTAGATATTGTTGTGCTATTAACTAGACTTATATTTGTGATTAAGGCCTCATTTCAGACTTGCACGCGATCAGTTTAAAACATACCCGGGTTATAATATAAAAGCAAGCCGATCGTGTTTTTAACCAACCACAGGAGTTTGAGATTGATTCCAGAGATACCGTCTTTATGTTTGCTATTTTAAACCCGACTAATAGACGCCGTCTCTCGTGTAATATCTCTACAAAGCTGTAGTATTTATAGGACTGTGTATGTTCACGAAAGCTGAAACGTTTTAAATTCCTTTCGTATAGCATCTGCGTGGTTGTTATTGTGAAAACAATCAGCGTTTCCTTAGTAACCTTCCCGCAAGTTACTCTCTCAACCACGAAATAAATCTTTAATTTTGGTCATAGTTATTTTTTGCAACTCTGGTTAACAATATTTCATTTCAAGCCGGATAGCTCAAAAGCGGGTTAATTTTGTGTTGCAGACACGCTAACAGAACCTAACAGGTAACTAAACTAGAAGCGAATTCAGAATAACACTTCAGAGAAGATTAAAACAAATTGTAATCATTTAAAACCAGTAAGCAAAATGTTTACGAGTGTAAACAGGAAACAAGTTCTTTTTAAGGAAATCTAACTTGTTGTCCAGTTTGTGTTGGAAACAGGGAGAAATTTATAAAAATACTGCTCTATTTTTATGCTGCTGAATAAACATTGCTCTTAGACTTTATATGTCTAATTGCTCTAAAAAGGTTCAATATTAGTATTCAGCTTTTAAGGAGCACTTCATCAAATTTGTAACATTTTGTTCAAAATATATTAATATACTTAGACAAGTGATCAGATCAGTTGAGGCTCAGACATTGTACAATTCTTCCAATATTATTCTAAGACAGACTTAAGCGAAACAGAGCTAGGATCGCATTTTCAAAAGGACGAAATGGAACCAACAACCAAAGAAAATAATTATTTCTTAGTTGTCAGAAAATAATTTGACAACCTTCATTAAAAAATCATTTAATTCTTTTTTATTTAACTAAATTGATATTCAGTTGTTTTTAATAAGAATATCATTTAGTTAGTCGCCATGGTTACCTTAATATAACAGCCAAAAATTACACGAAAAAAACCCCATGGGATGCAGGTCTATTTACGTTCGAGACTGAGTCCTACACTTTGTGACCATTCAAATGAGACTTCTTTGGCGTGGATTTTGTATGTTCTTTCATTTTGTTCACATTTTAGGAGGATTTTGCAGTATGAAAGGATATACATATTTTCTGGATACTGAGGCTATTTCACACTATACCGGGTAGTTCTTGTGCTGGTATGAAAACCATATCTGATATAGCTCCTTTTCACATATGAGAACGGTAATTTAGGCGCAAACGGAGCAACGCTACACCTTTGTTAACAGTGGATCCTTACATACGGGATATGTACTGCTCTTTGGCGCAGTGTGTACAGGTGTTCATAATTTACTGGATAGCTTTTATAATAATAATAATAATAATAATTTTTTTATTTAATTTATAATAAATTAAACTTTATTCATAGATTCAAAAAATAGACTATTTACGGATTCAAGAATATGAATATTAAAATATATACCCTATGTACATTCTTCTTGTGTACGAAAGAGAATTGTCGTAAAATGACTATCTAAAAACTACTAATAACAATTATAAAAAGCATCAAAAAGTTAATTATTTACAATTATTTATTTATAATAATAATAATAATAATAATAATAATAATAATAATAATAATAATAATAAAGCAAGTACAAAAACTAGAAATACAGAGAATGTGGCGTATGAAAACCGTAGTGATCCCTGTAGTTGTTGGAGCTCTTGGTACAGTGAAGAAGGGTATGGTAGAAAACATCAAGAAAGTATCAGAGAGAGCTACCATGACAGAGATTCAAAAGATCTGCATGCTGGGATCTGCGCGAATTCTCGGAAAGGTACTCAGTGTATGAACAGAATGATTGACTTGAGTGACTGACGCTCTGGGTGCATGGTTTGCGCCCGGCTGATGCACAAAAAGAACATCAGCAAAGACTGTGATAAAAGAGATAATAATAATAATAACAATAACGATATTTTAGCATCAGGGAGCCCATTTCACCAAAAGGTGCTCTTCAGTGCGGCCCTTCATATACTACAATTAACTTCAATTAATTAAAAACTACAGTTGATATAACAGTGAAACCTACAATAAAAATAGAAACAGTACAAGAACAATTAAAAACTGTCGACATGAAAAATTATCCTGCATAGTGTATACACAGCCTGATTAAGGTATCCTTGAGAGATCTATACACGCTTTTATTACATAATCACCCAATTCAAGCCGCGTTTATAACGGCTGCTAATAACTTCTCTTAAAATTAGCGCCGCCTACGGCTAACCCCTCCGCAAAATTTACTTTCAAGAAAAAAAAAATCCACATTTAATGTCAGCTGAAGGCTGTATTCTTGCTGTCTTCCTCTTGCGGCTCTAGTATTAGCTGTACGCAACTGATATGAGTATTTCGTGCTTTGCCTCAGCTAGCCTGCATTGACATCAATGCTCTTCAGTGCTCCTCAAGTGTGCCGATTCGAAATCGCCACTTATTTTCAGCCCGCGTAGCCAGCGTTTCCGATCGAGATGTTGCGCAAAAGTTAAAGTGAGAGCTGGTTATCCAACGCAGACTAAAAGATATATTATAGCCTTCCCTCTGATTGTGTACATGTACACTTTTTAAATATGTTTACTCTTTTTGCAACTTTTGCAAAATCCTCTGCCTTTTTAAACTCATAGAATTCTTACTACGTTTACCTTTTCTGTGTAGCAGCAATACCAAAACAGATTTTATCAAATATAAACTGAAAAACGCGATCAGCTTAAGTAGCGGTTTGACAATGTCGACCTTGAAAGCCTGTAGGTTCGCGATGTTGGTCTAATCGTTGGCAAGTTGATGTGTGATGTGGTCAAATTGTACTGGATGTACTTGATCTCTTCATAAAATAAAAACGAAAAGCACTTAAGCTAACCATGATGATTATTTCAACCTATCTTTACGATCGCCATGCAGTTGTTGAAAAAAAACCACAACAGTATAGGGTTATTACTTTGGTCTTTCAGGGTGACGCTTTACACGTTTCCTGATGGTCAGTAGTACCACTGTTTTCAGTACTCCATGTATTGTTCACATTCTCAGCATGTTTTCTTTTTGTCATTTATTATCGTGCGGGATAGCATGTTCATTGCTTTTTAAGTTCTAATTGAAGTTTAAAATATATTTGAATTGAGAGCAGTATTTGAGACAAAACGACGAAAATAAAATTGATTTCCATAGTGTTGGTGTTCCCTCTTCAAATAATAATAATAACAATAATTCCGTTATTTACCCTCGGCAGTATTTATAGCACTAATGCTAGTGGGGCCGAGTAAATGCCTGAAACAAACAATTCAAACTGAACTTAATAGGGCTAAGAATCCCAACTGGCCGGAGGCAAACCAGTTAGTTATTTACAAGTGTGGTCGAGGATTTGAACTCGGGACTACCATGAACAAATCCAGCTAGCGGTCATAGCAGGACTTGAAATCGGGGACTCCGCATTGCAAGTCCGGCGTTCTAACCACTCGGCCACACTCGGCCACACTCAGGCACATCGCCTCCTCCTTTCATGTTGGAGATTCGTCCAAAGTTGACTTACTTAGAGTGACTTAGTTAGAACCCTGTTATTTGCTACCTGCGGGTACCGGCACACCCGTTAACAACAGGTTGTTTCGAAGACTTGGAAAAACGGACGGCGTAATCAAAACTTTGTCTGGTCGTTCACTTTATGTGACTTAGCTCTGCGTATTTCAGTCACAGAGCAAATGGAAAGCCTATTTCTGTCTAACCAAAACCACAATGAAATATTTTGATCGAACATTCAGTAAAAAATCAAAATAAAACAAATGATTTAGCTCGGCATGACGCTGTGAAATGAATTGCGTTATCAGCACGTGTTACTAAGTAGGTGTTATCATTTTGCTTTTAACATTGTTTCTTTTTTATGCGTGATAAAGCTTTGCTTCAACTATTTTCTCTTTAGGCGGTTATTGAACTGAATGACTAAAAATAAATATACATTATGAATATTTTAAAATAGAACAATTATTACACAAAGAAAGTTATTTGGTGTTATGGTTTAGTCCATCGTAATTGTTTTCGCCGACTTTCTTTTGTATACGCGGTGTCTTTGTTCCAAAAACAGTCTTAACTACTTAATGTTGTTGTTGTTTTTTGAAATATCCAGGATAAAATTTGAAATCTCGGCTTCTTGTAGCACCAATCCACCAAAATCCATCAAAATCGCGAAAGTCTCCACTAAAAGGACAAAACATTAACCGAGCCACATTTTCCTAAGCCGGTTGGTTATATTTATCGGATCGTGTGATATTCAACACGGATGGTTAAACAATATTTAAACGCTAACCGCGGAAATCTTATTCTTTAATTTCACAACAAGAGGAACCTGACAAACTATGGAAGTGAATGGCTCCGAGAAACTCTGTTTTAGATTTTGAAAAATCTCTAAAATTTTAGAATTATATTTTCTCTTTTCGAGCATTTACTCGATGATAATCTGTATCATATCGATGGCGTAATCAATTTAACAAGCTTAACGTTTTTGGAAAGAATTAATTCTTGAAATAGACAATATTATTATTAGTTAAAAATAAATTTGGCGATTGAATTACAATGATAAGAGAACAGCTGCAGAAAATGAAGCTTAGTTTTTAGTTATTCTGCTGCGTTCATTTTAATTTGAACAAGGTGTCAAAACATCGAAACAAATTAAAACGTGGTCATATACTCGGAATGCTTGTCTGTTACCTACTGTATCAAACGATATTGGAGACGCCAGAAAGAGTGACTTAATTGATCCTCAAAAGAAAAAAAAAACAAATCAGTCAAATATTGTATATTCTTTAGATAAAGAAACAGCAAAAGAGAGACATACGCTTACAGTCTTCATTTTGCCATTTCGCCCTGTTTGAAACTAGGCGCCACCGGGAAACCTGCTCTTTACAAAGAAGATATAAGCTTATCGTATTTATGAAGGTTGGAATTCGGAAATGTGCGGGGATGTGCATAACCTTGGCAACGGAAGAAACAATAAGTAATATACTTAAGGGGGCTCTGTGGATTGGTCTATATAACACCCTATAGGCTTGTGAGATCGAGAGGTGAACACATTCCTAATCTTAAAATCTTCAAGTATGCTTGACTTTGAAAGATGAACGTGATTGATGCCATTGAAAGACACGACCTATGTGGTTTTAAAAGTTTTGTTCCTTTTCCTTCTCTTACGTATGTCTTGTGTTCATTTGCTCCGCATTTTCTAGCTATCAAAGTTTTCTTTTCAAAATTGAGAATGAGGAAAAACCCTGACGGATGTAAATTCCTTTGCGAAAAAAGCTTAGGAATTCAATTTTTTAAGCAATTTCTTGACGTGTTCACGTTTTCTAATGTAAGCGAATAAGAAGTGAGAACGTCTTGGATTTTTGAATGTAGACTGATAAAGTTATAAACTCCTCGCAAAACCAGTCGGTATAAATGACTTTGCGATATGTGACCCTCGCACTTTACATAAATAACGAGGAAATTAATTTCATTTGCAAGAATTACAGACGAGCGCTTTTTACTCGCTAAAACGCTGGCAAAGTTTAGCGCGCCATACCGATTATACTAAACCCTACTTTGTCAATTGTTTTGCCTGAAAAAATAGCATTAAACGTTCAAATATTAGCTAGAATATAAAAAACGGAGATCCGGCTTGTGATGAAAATAATCCATGATAGGATGATTTAAAATATTATTCAATCAAATATAAAATTGTTATGTTACCTTTCTCAGGCAAGAAGTAAACAATTCCATACTGAGATCTCTCATGTTATCGCAGTTCTCTCAATCTCGATACAATTCAGTTACCGCTGTTTTCTATTGAAACCACTACATAACTCTTATAGTCATGCAGTGAACATTTACAATATGTATCAGTAATCGCATTGCACCGATGTAAGCGTTTTGTCTTCGTACGTGTAAATGTGTTAATGTGTTTGGATCCAATGTCAGGAAGGATTAGAAGAACAAATTTAATTCCTAGAAAGAACCATCGCTTGACCTGTAAAACGTGACTCTGATTTTCCGTTATCTGTCAACAACTTGTGCTGCTTTTATTATCAGAATAGACCATGTAGGTATCAACAACTGTGAGCTAATTTATAATAAAGAGACGGGTTTTTTTTAAAGTTTTCTCGCTGCCGTAAGATGGCTAGAGGTTGAAAGGAAGGTATCGTGCAGAATTTTGTCAGGTGCTAAGAATTGATTTACATGGTTCTACTAATTAGTATGAGGCACTCGTAGCGAACCATACTAGAAGTTGCCAGCTCAACAATCGCCAGGCATTTTGTAGCACTAGTGATTTGATATACCATGTAAAGACGTTGCAATATTTCTTAATATCGCGTATAATCATTTCTGCCGTCAGAACCTCGTTAATCCGTCATGGCATGGCAGACTCGGCAGTTTTAACAGACTTGTCCAGAATCTCGTCATATTGTCTACATCGAATTCAATTTGTATAATCCTTTGTTTTTGTATCTTAGACGCGAGGTAAAAAAACAACAGTGATTAAATACCGAACGCATCGCCGCCTGATTCCTACATAAACATTTCAAATCCGCAATACAATTTTTTATGAGTTAATTTAATTTAGAAATTGAAAATTTTCTTACCTTGCTTTTTCGGATTTTGAAGCTCGGTTTACTTGGAAGCAATGGTCCCCTAAACCAAGTCCTCATTTTGAAATTTTATCTTGACATGCACTAACACTACCTTATTCGTCCTTAAGTCAAGGCTCAGTGTCCTAAATTTTCTGCGACGTTTAGTTCATAAGGGCTTTCCGGAAAAATATTGCCTCTGGTCGTCTCAGCGTGTTTGACATACCGAATGATCGCTTGTTCGAGTGGAACCGATATTATATTTTGCTCACGCTGTCGTCAACAATTCTTAAGTTTCTTTTTATCCCAGCTATTGTTTAAAACAGCGACTAATTTTATGTTCGACTTGTTTTGCGGTTTGTCTAATTATATCTAGCACAGTTGCGAGATTTTAAGGCAACACAAATGACATCCGGTAGGCTGATCCGGAACAGAAAGTGAACATAAATATCCCTGCCGCTTAAGAGCACGAAATCTCAATCACAGAGCACTAAAAAGGCTCTTTAGTCTATTAATAATCCACGAATTTCTTGCTTTAATATTCAGACTCAAGAAATTAGCTGTTAACAGCCATGCTGATGAGCCCAATGATATATGGTGAAACTTTACAACAGTTCCAGTCCGTGGCTGCTGACTGCCCGGGTGTTATGGCTTTGCGCATGCGCACGTTACTGGCCGGGTCGTGGGTTGGTATCCGAGTGTGTCACTTGCTATTTAAATTTTTGTTTAAGTTATTACAGTTCCCTACGCGCGTCCCATTATAAAGCGCGCGAAGAATGAACACAGTATGTCCTCCACCTACGTTTTCCCGCCAATATCCGCTAACGACTTACGCGTTTTCAAAGAAGCAGATTTAATTAGTTTCATGATTAAAACCCACTCAAAGTCGTCTTCTTGTAAGTCACAAAATTACATAAAAAAGACGTGAGCGATTACACTACCTTCAAATTTGTTTGGTCAACTAACAATTTTCTGTACTGTACAAGTCCAACAGCCTCCAATTCTCTTTCGGTGTGGTTCTAGGTTGGAAAACTAAACTTGGTTCATGCCAGGAAAATACCTCATTTTTCAATATGATAGCTTTTGCCGTAAGCCGTCGACGATAGTTAAAGTCACGTACCTAACAAACTGTGTTCGTAACACTGTCAAACCTCCTGTATAAGGACGCCGCCCAAGGGAAACGGACAAAGCCAAGTGTCCGCATTACAAAGGTTTCCGTAGTTTAGAGGTGAAACTTAACTGTCCGTAAAAGAGAAATGTCTGTATAACAAAGGCGTTTGTAAGAAGAGGCTTGACTGCAATTAGTTTTGAGAAGGACAACATTTGCGTCAGTACGGAAAAAGATGGTATTCCGGTTGTCTCTTTGCTTTATTTCAATGCAAATGTCCTAGTCCATAACGCTCTCATAATTAGGATGCATCAGTATCCACATCCTGGATCGGTGTGTGGCCGAATGGGGGGGGGGGGGGGGGGGGGTGGTAGTGGGATTTTTTTTGCCAATGGGGGAGGAGTTTCCGAAAGGTTGTTTTTGTTTTAGGACATGAACCGTCTTTTAAATCAAGTGATTCCCCCCCCGAGGGGTTTAGGGCATGAAAATGTTTCATTGTT